CCTTCGGCGGAAGGGTAAAATTGACATAGTGTTTTCAATTCTTAATGGTTTGCGGTGGTTAGGGTCTCGTTGGAAAGAGCTCGCGACGCTCGTTCCAACGAGCCCAAGAACGCCTGGGACGGATGGGAATTTAGGGAGTTAGGACTATCGGAAGATACGTAGACGTTCTCCTTCGGCCCTAGATGTTCGCCTTCGGGGTTACGCTTCCGGGAATTCCGCCTTCGGAGGTAGGGAGATCGACTTTTGTCCGATGCGCGGACGGACGCCTTCGACGGTTGCAGGCCTTCGGCGGAAGAGTAAAACAGTGATAACTTTCTCAATTCTTATCCGTTTGACTTGGTTAGGGGCTCGTTGGAAAAAGCACAACACGCTCGTTCTAACGAGCCCAAGAACGTTGCAAACGAAGCAAGGATCCGTGAGTTATGGGCGTCGGGGTGACTGTTAGAGATTGACAAGGTGTGGAAGTGCGTCTTTGGCGGTTGGACGCATTCGGCGGTGCGCGGAAGGAGATTTCCTCCGGCGAGGATCGGGTGGTCATGAATGTAGAATGTTCAGGTGTGGCAGTGGCGGCTTGCGTGTAGGACGCGTGGGACCCACAGTCCTCGGATTTTGGAGAAGGAATTTTGGCCTAGGTTCAGAGATCTTGCGGGGCCCATATCTTTGCGATGGACGGTCGGATGGATCTGAAATTTTGTGGGGCCGTTGATCTCGGCCGGCCACGCATGCCTGCAAATTTTCAGCCTCAGATCTTGGGTGGGAAGGCGCTGGCGGCTCTGTACAGTAGGCTTAGGATTCAGATTTAGGGTTAGGGTTAGATTTAGGTTGTAAGTTAGAGGAGAAGGCAGCCGCCGACTCCTCAGGTGTGGGATCTGTTGCGGCTCGCACCATGGCGTGGTGCAGTGTAGTGCTAGTTAGGACTTAGAAGGTATAAAATAGTTCCAGGCGTTTTGCCTGGGGTTCTTTCCCATCAGAAGTGCAGATCAGGAACCCATTTCCTTTGCGTGTTTGTGTCCTTGAGTTCTGTCACCACGCACGAGGAGTTACAACTTAGCGTTCCGCATTTTGTAGCTGAAGGCCTTCGGCCGAATGTTCAGAGCTAGTACATTGGTTAGAGACTTGAGTAGTTCGGATCTGCACCTGCGGGTGACTGCCGATGCTCAGAGCCAGTGACTAGTTAGATACTTGAACAGTTTCGCCCCTACACCTTCGAGTGTTTCTTTCTGATTGTACTCCTTGGGATTTTTCCCCTGAATGCCAAAGTGAAGTTTTGCTACTTCGTGTAAGCCTTGGTTGTAAATTCAGGTTACGCTGCAGCAGGTGCCTTGAGGGTAACCCCTGTAGTATTTCTGGGAATGACAAGTGCCTGAGAATTAAAACTCTTCAATAGACTGTTGTTGTGTTACTGGAATGTTTCACAGTGAGTCCTTCAGTGCGGACCTGTGTTCTCTGCGCGTTTTGTGAGTTGAGAGTGTTGTTCACCGCGTAGGAGTGACTTCGATCCGAAGTAGGCAGTCCAAACCGGGTTTCCTACACTAGCAGCAAGCTAGTGGAAGTGTTGTAAAAGCCGGAGTTGGAAGTCACTGCCCGCAGCTTTGCCGAGTGTGCTCGCAAGAGACTTTCCCCCTGAAATCTTGAAGTAGAGGTCCTAACGGATCTCTGGGTTGTATTTCTGTAGTTTCAGGTGTGTGTGTGTGTGTGTTACGCTGCACTGTGCGACCTCCGAGTGCGCTCCGAGTGGACACTTGCAGTATTTCTGGGAGTGACAGTCGCCTGAGAATTCAAACTCATCAATAGTCTGTTAAACGTGACACTTTGTACCCTGTGTGTTCCTCTGTCCCTGTGGGTTCGACCTTTCTACCACTATATTGCAGTTTTAGCCTTTAGTGGGTTATTACAGCAGCTGCAGGGCGCGAGGAGAGTTGGCGGCACAGGTGACTCGTTGTCTAAAAGGATACGCCCATTGGGAGGTGGCAGCTCAAGAGAGGATTACACTCCGGGAGTTCGAGCTTCGGGCGGCGGCATTGACGGAGGGTGACAGTCGGAGTCGGCGGCGAGTGGCGAGAAAATTAGAAACCTTCTTGTCGGGTGCGCGCGACACTATGGCGCACTTGCAGTCGGAAGTCACCACAGCGCTCCGACGCCTGGGGTTACACAGCCGGTCGGAAGACTGGCAAGGTAGAGATAGTAAGCGGAGCAGTCCGGCGCGCAGGAGGCGCAGCACCGGATCTGCTGAGTGCAGTAGAGTAGTTTGGTTTCGCGCAGATGCTGCGAGTGGTAGATAGGATAGCGTAGTGCTTGTTAGGATCTTTTGAGAGTATAAAGTAGATCAAGGCGTTTTGCCTTGGGACTCTTCCAGTTTCGGAAGTACAGATCAGGAACTCACTTTCTTGGCGTGTTTGTGCATTTTGGTCCTGGCACCACGTAGAGAAGCTCCAGCATAGCGAAGTTACCGTATGTTGTAGTTGAAGGCCTTCGGCTGAATGTTCAGAGCTAGTACCCGGTTAGAGACTTGAGTAGTGCGGATCTGCACCTGCGGGTGATTTCTGATGCTCAGAGCCGGCTGCGAGTTAGAGACTTGAACAGTTCCCCCTTACTCCTTCGAGTGACATATCCTGATTGTACTCCTACGGGAAGTTTCCCCTGAATGCCAATGTGAAGTTTCATTACTTCGTGTAAACCTTGGTTTGTAATTCAGGTTGTGTGTGTGTTACTGGATCGTGTTTTCAGTAAGTTCTCAGTCGGGTCTGCACTCCCTGCGTTTGGTGTGAATGTCGAGGGTGACGTCCACGGCGTATGTAGAGGCTTCGTTCCGAAGTGGGAAGTCCAGTCCGGGTACCCCCGCTAGTTCCTGGCGGAAGGGCAGTAAAAGCCGGAGTGGGAGGCACTACCTGCAGAACCTCTGAGTGAACTTGCGAGACACTTTCCTCCTGAAATCCGAAGCGGAGGTCCTGACCGACCTCCGAGTTGTGCTTTTTGCCAGTTTCAGGTGTGTGTGTGTGTGTGTGTGTGTGTTGAGTGACCAAGCTGTACCGTGCATCCTCCGAGCATCCTCCGAGTTGAGATCCTCCTCCGAGTCGAGCCTCCGAGTCGAGCACTGCGGTATTTCTGGGAGTGACAGTCGCCTAGAATTCAAACTCTACAAAAGTCTGTTAAACGTGACACTTTTACTCTGTGTGTTGCCTCTGTCCCTGTGGGTTCGATCTTTTTACCACCATACTGCAGTTTTAGCCTTTGGTGGGTTATTACATAAGTTTCATTACTTCGTGTAAACCTTGGTTTGTAATTCAGGTTGTGTGTGTGTTACTGGATCGTGTTTTCAGTAAGTTCTCAGTCGGGTCTGCACTCCCTGCGTTTGGTGTGATAGTCGAGGGTGACGTCCACGGCGTATGTAGAGGCTTTGTTCCGAAGTGGGAAGTCCAGTCCGGGTACCCCCGCTAGTTCCTGGCGGAAGGGCAGTAAAAGCCGGAGTGGGAGGCACTACCTGCAGAACCTCTGAGTGAACTTGCGAGACACTTTCCTCCTGAAATCCGAAGCGGAGGTCCTGACCAGCGGCGCTGGTCAGGACCTCCGCTCCGTTATGTTCTTTACTTGTCAAGAATTTGAAAAACTTATGACAATTCGCACTATTTATTTTATGATGAATTTTACAAAATAAATAACATGTTGATTTTATTTCACATCCAAACTTCACTCAAAGTGACAAATTTAATTATTTTATGCTTTTTTTTTATTAATATCAATTTGTGCAAGTTAACATAAAATAACCCAAATATTTTTTTATTAAAAATTATAATCAAAAATTTAAAAATCAAACTAACAACAAAAATTTAGGTTTCACTAACGTTCACTTTTTAATTCCGTTAATATAAAGATATTCAAACAATATTATTGATCATATTGATTATATTTAACTTTTTTTTCACTCTATTTTTATTCTTAGAAAAACTTTGTCACAAATTAATCCAATTTAAGTCCTTGTTTATTTTATAATAATTTTTAACTTATTTAAAAGTATAAATATTTAAATCATATAAGATTATTGTAGATGTTTTCAATATCATGAGGCACAATTTTCCATTCAAAATTATGGGATAAAAGAATTTGTCTTTGTTTGCTACATTTTGTTAGCAATACATATTGAGTTGTGTTATACTTGCAGTAAGGAAGTACAAATGATTTTCCCAAAAAATTTCATTGCGCTTAATTTTCAGTTTTAAAATGTCTTCATATTTATACTTCATAATTTATATATTGATCTCTTATATATTTAAAATTAATTTCGAATATTAACTGAAAATATTGTAATCTATTAGTTTTTAAGATCTGGAAAAATATCTTATTTATTAGAAACCTATTTTCTATTTGATGTAAATCTGTACAATCAAATTTTCATGAAACTTTTATTTCTTCAAATATTACTATTTAAATTCAAGCATGGAAAAAAAATTGTTGAATTTCCTACTAAGTATGTATCATCATCAACTCTATTTTTATTTATGAAGATTATGATTCGCATATAATCTGAGTTTATCAAAAAAGTAACAAAGTTTTTTCATCATGCGAGAGCCTAAAAAATGTAATCCTACCATTTTCTAAGATCTATTGAGCAAGATAAACATAACCTCACATATGATTATCGATGGATTCGACTATTTTCATCTCGGTTCTAATGGTTTCAGAGTGCAGCTGGCGATCACACAGAGAAAAGTGGCCACGACGAGAGAGTCCTACGGGACCCTCAGACAATGTAACCGCAGTGGATAAGAGTTGCAGACGTCAAGAAGACAATGACCTTTACATCTCAAATGTCAGATCTGAAGTTACTTCGGAATGCAGGCAGAAGTGCCTTGAATTTATCTATCCATTAATTCATATGTACAAGCTGCACTGCCAGCAAACATTTTTCACACAATTAAAATTGCGACTGAAAGTCGAATATGTATTTAATTGATCTTCTGGTGGTCACGGGAAGAACTGGCGAGACAGCTACTATGTGTGGGGGAACGTCTACTACCAGAACCTGATACGCAAATCTAAATCTTTCGAATTTTTGAGGAAGAACAGGTCAGACTGAAACCAGATCTCGTGTGTGAGAGGTTGAGGGATTTTCCTTTTATTCACTATGTCGAATCCTTGATCTGCTGGGCAAGAATCAACGTTATCAAGGTAGACACTCGTATTTCGGAGACAGAATGATGTCATAGGGAAAGAATATGGACAACAGAAAAGGAAAATTGGAAGAAATACTGGAATTCCCTCATGTTCATCATATCAGGAGAGTCAAACGAAGGGGGAAGTCCAGCAGAGCTAAAATGCATTGCATTCTCCAGCCAAACAAATTCATTGAACATTATTGCAGGTCAGCACAGGTTTAGAACTGAGAGACTTGAATCAACAGTAAGGGCACATCTAAGAATTTTGTAGCGAGCAGGCCCTGCCTGGAAGTCGCACTACAGCAGTGGCTAGCAAAATCTTCAGCGCCAGTTCTGGCTTTTCGAAGTCCACTCTTGACTGGGAATGAAACCGAGCTCCAAGAAAAGCTACCTGATTCATGCCAGCCTCGAGAGCCCTATGCCGGGCACACGCACAAGAACCCGTATTACTTAAAAGTGATGCTCTTCTCGACGTGCGTGGGAGGCGGAGACGTCATTCGGATCGGATGCACGGGCTTCAAGTTGTAGTCGGATTTCTGGATGGAGACGGGAGCGATGGTCTTGCCCTCAGTGCAGGACAACGAGTAGCCCGGCGGCTTCGTCTCCTGCGGCTTGTACAGGAATTTGTCCTTGCTCGAGACCTGGGTCTCCTGCCAGCGGCCGGGCGGGTCGTCGACCACGTAGAGGTGGCCGTCGCGGCCGACCTCGACGCTGCGCTGGTTCATGGGGCACGCCGGCGGCTTCTTGTGGAAGTAGTGGTACGTGGTGTCGGCCATGAACGGCGTTCGCTCGGGGAACGGCGGCCATGGTTTCGGCGGGGGCGGCAGCGGCTTCTCCGGGTAGTGGTCGTGGTAGGTCGTGATTTTGTCCGGCGGCCATCGCTGAGGCGGCGACGGTGGCCGCGGCGGCGGGTGGATGGGCTTCTTGGTGAAGTGCGCTTTCATGGTCGAGATCTCGTCCATCTTGCCCTTGTCGAACGGAATCACCGTCCGGATGGGCTCCTCCGGCGGGAACTTCGGGTACGCCGGACATTGATGCAGATGGCACGTGCATGCTTTGCACACGCAGCTCATCGGATGATTCTGTTCGGATTTCAGATCGATCGTCCGCGACATAATGTCGACAGCAGAAGAAATGTGTTAGAATTGCCGCCGACTCCATCGACGACTCTATTGCAACGAAGCCTGCCACTGCTATTTGCGGCGTTGTGGTTTTCTCTTGATGGAATGAATGTTGACTGATACTGTAAGTACGAGGAGACGACGTAGACACCGTGCCCCAGATTATATAACTTCGAAGCAGCGAATTGCAAGTAAGGAATTCAGCCACTCTGAATTCTTAAATCATAATGCGGAAATTGGACTACTTCTGCACTGACCCCTGGTGGCAAAACGGACTTTACAGATATTCAGTCTGATGATCCACTCGAGAATTCGAGTATTCAGAATGGCAGCAGATCTGGTCCTAATAGAACGACGATAGAACTGAAGAGCACATAACTTAAATACGGAGAAGTAGACCCGACGAAACACCACCGACAAGCTAGAGTACAAGGCATAAGAAAAGCTAACACCTCTCCTGCAGTAAATCAGATAAATCATCGCCTACATGCAAATACTCAGTCCCTCACCTACCGATCAAAACAATTTCACCTCCAATTGCAGAATCACATTGACACAACCCTTTCAAGTTGATTTACCAAACTAGTATTCAAGGTATAATTTATTTCCATGATGGACTCAATTCGCTCACTTCGTTCGTGATTTGGCAGGACTGCATTAGGTTAGGAGTTCTCTACGACAAATGGATACTCCAAGTCATCGAATTTATGTAGAACTCTTGCGCGCTTAGTCACTTCTCATTCATATTTAGATAAACGAGTGGAGTGGGTGCATGTATTGGAATCGAATTCTTATCGTATATCATTTTGTGACTGATGCTCTCACCTTTCTTGAAATATGCTTCAACTTTACGATTGTCACATTTCTCTCGAAGACGTGCGATCATCATTCTCTGCCAACTATTGTCTCTGGACATATTTATTGTTCGTGGCAGTGATCTTATCTGATGTGATAAAAGATTCGTACAAAGTTTCCGTGAAGAGTGATGTCCAGACATCGAACCCGGAGTGGATGTCCTACCGAAGAACTCATGGATTGTCTCAACTCATCAAACTCAGAAGCTTCTTTCGGAGCTTCAGATGTAGACATTCAACCTCTGTGATCAATCTACGCTAGATTTGAGCTTGTCGGTTTGAGCTGCGATTTGGGGAGCCGAGGCCTGAGCCGGTACTATTTTAGTGGCTCGATGAAGACGCAGGGGCAGCATTCTTCTCATTCGACGCGCACATGGCAGCACACGAAAGAGGAAGCTCAAGGGTTCGCAGAATGAGAAAGTTCTACTCACCCATGTGTCCACAATGTAGCGCTTTCTCACGGGTCGATCGTGCGGATTCTGTGATCCGACCCCAATTTTGTGATAGTTCTGCGACCCAGAAGGCTGGGACGTCATGGCGGCGGCGGCGCCTGCCTGCCTGCCTGCCTTTCTCAGGCCCGAAAACTTTCTTCGAGCTTTGTAGACGCCACGCACCGGGAACGACGAGGTCCACGTCCGGAATTCAAGCCACCAAATTCAACGGGATTCACAAACTCTGAGAATCCTGCCCTTGAGGACTCCCTCCAAAGAGCCAACGAGCCCCTTGACTCGAATCGCCGGACCGGGCGATGAAAGGTGCTCTCGATTTAAACCAAAGATGAGCCCCAGTAAGGCCTGACCCGGCCGAACGCCACCGCTTATGGTGAAACGGTTCAGAAGGAGCGGTCTCCAAGGGACAGAACCATCCTCGTGTTCGACACTTCAACCCTGGCATGAGATTGGCCACCATCGCGCTCGTCAGTATTAAATCTCCCTCAGTTGCCACCACCGAACGGTCCTGATCGACCGGGTCAAACTGGAATCTAGTGTCAGTCGTTACGTCTGGACATGGCAGATTTATACCAACAGAGTTTGCACACGGTTTGCTCTTGTTTCCTTTTGGTGTGAATCGAAGACTCAGCACCAACAAAAATACTCCCTCATTTTAAGATGTGCTGTCAGATTAAGATAACCCTGCTGCCTCAGCTCACACGAATCGTGATTCACGATCAGAAACAAAAAATGAAAAGCTATATGCTTAGACTATAGTCTCGGAATTCTCTAGTATATCGATGGATCTCAGAGTCAGAGAGCACGCTAGCTAAAAGGCTTGACTAATGCAACCTTTTCAAAGGTTCTCAGATTTGCAACTAAGGTTCATCTACTCATGAAGTGCTTCCACCAGTTAAAACATTGAAACGAATCCGCGGATGTAGAATCTTGAGATCTTTGCAGTGCATATTAAGGTGATAATATGGAAAGACGGAAAATTCCTCCATCGATGTTCTGTTGTGCAATCTTCATGTGAGAAAATGCATCTGTATAATTCAAAGCCTTTTTAAATTAAGAAGGGTATGTACTCTAAATCTGTGTCAGCCCGCCCTGCTCGTGTCGATATCATTCTCTTGCTGTCCATTGGATTTCAGGACCAAGTTATATTCTTGAAATTCCAGAGACGATCTGTGTGCAAAAACTCATGTATGCAAATACTCCAGAGTACATACATAATTATTTTTTGAGGATAAGAAATGTAGATCTTGAATGTACGAAACTCAAGAGCAAGAAGGAAATGGGATTCTGAAGACTGTAACTAGAGACAGAGGATAAAGTACTGTAAAGAAACCAAAATTCAAATAACAATCACTCTGAAGAGACTATCACTTCCAAAAACAACGCCAGTCTCCTAGCCCTGAACGACGTGATATAATGCCTTCTCTCACTAATATCGACATAGTGATCCTTCAAACATTAAATTAACCAGCATTGATGCACGTTCTGGTCACACTTTTCCGCAATTCTACACATAGGAGCATTGATCACCACCGATTAAATTCTGTTCAATTAACAGTTTTTTAGGACACTGTTTCTATGGAAGCACTGGTATCTGCATTTATATGCAAAGGCTTGATCCCCCTGATTAACGAAAGTTAATACATGCTCACTCAAATCAAATCTGCAAGGACTCCTACTCAGATTAAGCCAAATCAAAGAGAAAAAACTATTGTGATGACTAAGAAAAGTGAGAGCTAGATTGGACATCTTATCTCAATTCCTTACTCCAGAATATGATTAGAGACAATTTGTCCAAAACCTAAAATGCTTAGCAAAAATTACATAAGTTCGTGTAAATTACTTCAGGGTCCATAATCCACAGGATCAAGCCCATATCAACTGTGGATGTATGATGTTATGTAAGAGCTTCTATTGCTGCTAGGCATCTACCAAAGGTATGCAAGTATCCGCCAGAGTATAAAGACGAGTTCATGACAATAACATACAAGTAGATATACTGACAGAGTCAAACGAGCCAGTAAATTAAGTGCAGCTCTAGTGAATGAGACGCTCCATGTTATATCCGTGATTCTAACCTGGGGTGGGCTTGTTAACTTCCTCCTTCTCCACAGTCCTCTTGATGCTTGCGGAGAACATTCATAGTATCGGCTAGTTTGCAACTCTACTCCTTCGGTCTTCCTTAGACCTAGGCAATGCTTATAAGGATTATAAAAGATTAGACGGATCTTCCGATGCTCGTACACAGCCAATTCAATTCAAGCCAATTCAAGGAATTAAAGCCAATTCAGTTCAATGCATTGAATTGAATTGAATTGAGGCAGAGTCAAATACATGCAATTCATCGCGAGGATGCTAGAATCAATCCACTTTGAGTACGAGCGTGGTTGGCAATGCAACTGCTGACGAGTAAAAGAATTTTTACGGCCAACATTTGCATCAAGCTTTCACCAGATGCGGTAACGGTGAGGACATATTATTGTGTGATTAACTTGTGGAGAATGAAGAATATCATCCTCATAGTGAGGGCTTTCATTTTGCGTTAACGTGATAACTGAAAGTCAACAAAACATCGGAATATCTCAATAACCCAATATTTCCGCTCGGTAACGGAATCCATATCTGAAAAGCAAAGATGGATGATCTCAATTATTATGAATGGCATTAATGCAAATATGCATCTCTTGCTGTGCATAGTAGCGCAGAAGAAGGAGCGCTCACATGCTTCACTATTACCTCACCTTTAACGTCAACATTGGCATGTTATCCTCTATGACTTGGAAACTAAATTTGAAAATGTTCAAAGAGCTCACCATTGCAAGGGCCTGATATATACGCAGAAGACTCCCTCTGAAAATAACTGCAGTCTCTTCATAACAACGTAAGAGAAGACTGAATTCCATCCTAGCAAGATCAGAAGAAAGAGGTGATATGTATTAATGTTATTGAGATGGACTATATTGTCTGGTTTGTCCAATACCGTAAAACTGTCTAATACCAAAGAACTCTGGGCTCAAAGTACGCTCAAAGTATAAATAACAATGGAAATTTACGTTTCCAGTATTAAATAACCCGTGGCGGAGTGGTCGGAGCATTTCTGAGTAGCAGAGCGATATGGCATGCCCATTACTTCGACCAGGGCTTGTCGAATGGTTTCAGTAGAAATATGTAAACATGGTTGGATCGGTGTGTTATACTAAGTGGAGAAATCTTCACTGGATAGGTGTACTGTTTCAAATGTTAGGGTCTTCGATTTAATGAGCAGTCTTGCGGAGATCCAAGATAGTCGCCACTTTATTGATTCGAAAGGGATGGTACTATGGTTGTGGATGTAGCCGAGAACATTTTTAGTGCAGACGTTGAAGATGTGAACTATTTCTAAGACTTAAGGAACGCAACTACGACTTTGTCTCAAGAGCATTTATTTTCGTGGACTACGCTTAATCACATCATTCCTTGATTATCAGATCAGAGGTGGTCAAGATGCACCAATGCAAAGATGAATATTTCATTGTTTTCCTGTTGGGAGAGATTCCAGGTCGAGATCAGTTGATATTTATGACAAACAGAAGAAACTGATTGTTTGTTTCAGCTTCAGGGTATCGTGGTAAGAGGAGTGTTGGAAACTTGTGAACAATGTGATGGTAAAGCTTTTGGAGGTGGGTGCCCGAATGCCTTGAATCTATTTCATTACCATCCATGGAAACTCATGGAATGATACTAAGATCCACAACTTCACTTATACTTTGCGTCACACTCGCCGTCCGCCAGAAGTTAGCCCTTCATACATCTGATCGAGAATTCTGTGATTATAAAGAAATGAAAAACAAAAAATTTCTGTATACTACAGGTCTATTTTAACTGTGTCTACAGAAGTGTATTTTTTTTTATCTTTAAGCTTCAGTTGAGAGATAACATGCTATCTCGTATTTGTGTTGGTTGTAAATCTTTTCATCTATCATTTGTTGTCCAATACTTTTTTCACTGATAGTAAATCGTATACAGGTCTGATCAATTTCCCTTGCAATCAAATAAATCATGTTTTACATTATTATCCAAAGTACTCAGTTTGACTGCACTTCAACTGGAAAAAGACACGTACATCATTCTCATCCTCTTTAATCCACATGCAGTAAAGGTTCTGAAGATCAAATATGAATTGAAGCGTCTGATCTTATATTAGTTAAACTTGTTGAAGCACATAAAAAAAACCCTGATTTTACTAACACCACATCATCACAACCATCGGTGGCTCATCATCTCGGCATGTGGTATTTTTGCAATCCACATCCATTTCTAGTTAAGGCTTTATGGACAGTAAAAGTAACAGTTGAAATAGAAAAAAAAAGTTCCAATCTGAAGGGGAACTTTATAGAACTAAGCATCTACTTGTAATTATTGCTGAGCTTCATTTCTTGTAGCAATCATGTAGTGGCGGCAGTTATTCTAGAGACTGAAGAGCATTTGAAAAAACATATGATCCATCAAAACGTGCACTGAAGGTGATATTAGATAAGGAAATAACAAACTACAAACTGCCATGAAGTAAATTAATTTTCATGGGAAGAAATCTGAAATGGAAAATCTCTTTCCAAGATGTGCTGCGAGAACAATGGACTGATATTTGCCAATATGAGAACCTCGTGATGACAATAGAGTCACAAGATCTATGGTATTCATGCACCTACAGATTTTAGCAATTTATGCTACACAAAATGGCTTTAAAATGCTCGATGCATTTCAATGTGAGCACCAGAAGTAAAGAAGCATGAAATTTAGTGCTTAATGAAAAAATGTTGCTTTTTAGGGAGGGAGGGAGAGAGAGAGAGAGAGAGAGCGCGAAATTTTGTGTCGAATCGGCGAGTCTTCATTCGTTTGTTGGGTTCGTTGTCCGAGTATCGAGGTTTCTGCCGTCTTCTGATTGCTGAGCCCGTCGTCGTCGCGGCGGCGTCTCGTGTTCATCAATATAAACTAGAGTATTGACATACTAGAGTTTTCTGGAATTTATACCAACTTGATAACAAATTAAAAATCAGCACACAGTAGTTCCTTAACATAATGTCATTTTTCAATTGCCTGCATATAGTTATAGTTAGCGTTCACATTAGAGCAAGCATGCCCACGCAACTAAATTTCTGGAGGCTTCATATGAAGTTGGAGTCCGTCGGAGGTAATATTTCCAGATCTGGAATATAGATTGCATGATTGTCATTGGCATGAAACTGAAAGGCGGTCGTGATATCAGAATGCTCTAGAGCAGATATCACTCAAATTTCTCAGATTAAAAGATTTAAGATTTTCTGGTGAGGATTCTCTCAAAACCTGCTGAATACCTGCTCCCACCATTTGCATCTCTGATTTTGGTATATGAGCAGCTAAACATCCAGAATCTCATTGCATTACCCTGCAATCAAACATATTAAACACATTAACGGCAGGTTTCGATTTTGAAAGCTCAGAATGGAAACCGTGCAGCATAGGGTGATGAAAAAGGTGTGTGAGAAAAAAGGTAAAAACGAAGCAGCGGAGTCTTATTTTCTTCGCATAAACCTGTGTAATTTTACACGTTCCATTGTGATCGAAAACCGCAGTCCAAATCGTTTAACGGTAATGTAAGATGGGGAGATTCAAATGATCCGCGAACTTTCATGTGTTCCTTAGGAGAAATCGTGCTTTCTGAAAGAAGTAAACTGCTATATAAATTGCTCAGTTCAGGATTTATATTATGTTGTGAAATACTCTTGAATATCAGTTTACAATCTTTTCATCAGGTAGGAAGATTCGAAGCTAACGCTCACCATTGGGTGTAGTCGTAGGGATCGCACTCTGACTCTCATTTAAAGAACCAACATTATGGGATAAGAATGGTTGATTCACATAGAGGAGAGCAGTTGCTAGAGGCATCAGGAGATAACTCAAGGAAGATCAGACAAAGGTCTCGAACTGTCCTTTCGTTATGAGCTGCTACTAACTCTCGCATGGAAAAGTTCCGGCGAAGTTGCAGGGAATAAAGACATTCGTGGATAATAATGACGCAGCAGAGGCTTTTCTTAGACTGAAGTGATCATATATTTATGTCTTGTAATCTGATCGAAAATGAATAGCTAAGCCTGCCACTTATAAACTAGAGCTGTAAAACAAACCATCTTAAATCCAGAAGTTAAGGAGCAAATCTTACATTCACATTCTGTTGGCTATTATGGATACAGAAACTTAGTGATATTTAGAGAATGTAGATTGGTGCTTGAGAATGATAAGAGGCTGAAGTGGTGTGTGAGATAATTGATGATGCAAAATTATATAAGTCAAATTACAGAATGTCAAGTGTTTGTGAGCTCTTACGTAAACAGCATGTCAATAGTCAATAGAGACTCCATTGGCAAGACGATGATTCCATGTTTCCAGCCAAAACTCAACCATATCTGATAGGTGACATTCAAGCAGGTTCGGCCCAGCGCCAAGCGCTTGACACGGTGTAAGATATATTGTTCAAGATAAGATTCGCATCAAATACAAATCAATCTTGACCGATGGAAATAAGAATGGAGAAAGAACATTATGCTATCACGAGGATTTTTTTTGTTTTAGGGCCTCTGTTATACAACGGGAGAACGAAAAGGACGAGAGCTCAAATGTACGTCACCGGGAGACCCGACCATGACAGAATGCATAGAGTCGAGAGTGTTGTTACACTACTGGTTAATGAGTCTGAATATCTTTTCATCCGAATATTCCACGAGATGCTACATTGATAGTAATCATTGTAGCATTGTGGAGCATTCAGCGGATGAACGCGAAGTGTGCTCTGCACGGTCTTAAGAGCTTGTGACACGATTGGGAACGGTTGGGACTAAAGATCCCGTGTGCTCACGTCCAGCCGCCGTGGATCAGAAGGCTAAAGAACCTGCTGGTCCTAGCTCTCCTCACAAGAGCTTTTCGTACAGGATAAAGCTCTCTGCGAACCTAGAATCCGTGAGTCTCATTCTCGCCTCACCTCTCAGTAACCTTTCTTTATTTGTGCTCCAATTGCCCTCCAGTCATCCAGCCAACCATTCTCCACCGTAGTCCTAGCCTGTCCTTTCTCGCAGCTTTCACCACTCCATATCCGCCACGTGCTGTCACAGAAAGATTCCTGTTCTCTGGACCTGCAATCTCTTCCAATCAGATTGGTGCATTACAATGAGGGTTTATCATTTACTCAATTTACTCAATCTGAAGTTCATATTCTACTCTGTTCAAACGGTTTTCGCCGACTGTGCTTTCTTTAATAGTTGACAACACTTTCACTTCTCATAAGCCTCCGTTATAATCTAGTTGGTTAGGATACCCGAGAGAGAGCCGTGTGACTCATCGACTCCGGGTCGTTCTCAGCCGAGCGACCCGGGTTCATGTCTCGGCAGCGGAATGCTCCAGTAAATCTCTGCTTCAAAGAGGCCTTTTCTTTCGTTCTCCTCTTGGTAAAGCTTTCCAAGTACGTTGACATGATTGACGTGTAAATAGAAGTCCATATATGAACCCCGAGCAAAATGTGCCCTTGTTAAAGACTAAAATTAATCTTTGTGGTGACTGTTTTCTTTTTCTCTAGTGACATTTCGGTATCAACTTCAAATAGTAACTCAAACTTGAGTAAATATTGGAGGAAATCAATTGATGGAACCCTTGGAAACTCAGCACTCTTGAAGTGACCCAACAGGTTTCAATTTACCCGATGAACCCAATCGAAGGCCACCGTCAGCTATGTTCTTATAACCTACTGATTTGCTCTATAGAGTGGGGAATGTCAGCCACTGTCGGGCAGAGTATTTTGGCGACTCCTTCGCAGCCATGTCTAAGAAAACTACGGGCACCATGAGTGTGAACCGTCACTTCATCTTCCTACTCGAAATAACCCCAGATAGTACTGGTACATCACTAACGGTGATGATGATAAAATTGATGATGACGATGATTGATGGTAAAATGATATCTGTTGGATCCCATCAAGTCTGATCCAGGGAATATGATTGTGAAAATATATGTTTCTCACGTCCCTTAATCACGCGGTTTTATACTCAAGAAGAAACTAAGCTTTGTGTTTTTTACTTTGTGATACAAAAGGGTGTATGTTAGTCATAAGCTGTGTCTTGATTTAACTGAAGTTGGTTTGATTCCAGTTAGTTGAATTGTTTAGTCGTCCATTGTAGGAGAGTTCTTAGCATTTTTCAGTGATCAATTAGAATTTTTTGCGAGTAAATCTAAATTGAACCCGTGGATGTATCACGCAATGGTAGACCACGTATGTCTCCATCTCTAGTTATGTTCTGTTGTTGAAATGAATGAATGTTTGCTATTATACATAAGCTAACAATATGTATGATTATATCTAAGAATATAGTCATTTTAAGTTTCTGGGAACAATTCATATGGCAACAAAGATGGGACTCTACATCAAAATGAAATAGTTAAGGTATAATCTCAATGGTAAGTATGTACCATCAATTCAATATAATAGTCTCAATATAGTAAATATATGTAATTAAATCAAGGAAGAATGATCATTTATTTTGATAATTCATTAATAATTTGCAAAAATCATTTTTGGATCTGATAATCTATATAATAAGATGATTGAAATTATTTTTTCTGATATGATGTAAACTTAGAAATTTCAATGTTCATATCTATATATAATTTTAAATTTTAAAAAAAAATATTTAAAATTTGAGGTTTGGATCAACAAAATGTAATTTAATTTTTTTTTGAAGTTTGTCCATTCTTATCCATTTAAACCTAAGTGTTTATAGTTACATATTTGGTTACGTGAATAAGTGTCATGACACTTAATGAAAAGTACACATCATCATAATAACTTTGTTGTCTCTCACGCAGAACACAAGGTTGCTTAAGCCAAAATTACCTGTTGCAATAGATATGCTACAATGAATGTCTACCATCGGTTTCGACACCATCATGGGAAAATTGTCGTATTGGATTCATACTGAAGATATATTCATGTTTATTGCCAAAAAAACATCACAGCACGGGTCATTTAAAGGATTTCATATTCGGTCAACACTAGTTGTTGCTATATATAATATCCGTGCTCAATGGTTATTTCTTGTGAGTCGCAGTTTAATGGTAGAAGGTCCAATCGGTCTGCCATATGGACTGCGCGGAGTGTACAACGTGGTGGGAAGAGGTTCGCCACTAGTTTAGCACCGACTGCACCGAGTTCAATGGAATCTTCGGTTGATTGGTTCACATCGAGCCAAACCATGGACGGTGCGGATCTGCTGGAGAGATCGGACGGCTGTGGCCAGATATTCTCTGGAAGATTCTCCCGGGTCATTCCCCTCGTCATTTCGTCGAGAGAATCGTCTCCAGGATTTGGTGAACTGATGGGCTCCCTCAACTCATGGACTTCACGCATTCGTGCAGCGCCGGCGAAATTCTCTTGCGACGGAGGACCACAATTCTCTGCGCAGCTGAAAATTACCGGATTTCGCCGGAGGACTTTGCGTCGGGCGCTGGCGGGACTGGGAGTCCGAAAGGATGTGAGCTCGAATTGGACTGTGAAGAGCACAGGACAACGGAATTTGATTTGAGTATTAAGAGGGTTGGATTTGGTGCAGGGTGCGGAGGTCGTTGGAAGAGATGATCGTGCAGGTGCACGGGATCAGATGTGGATTTTTTCTATCGGATGTGCAAACCGGTGATGGGGTTGATAAGAGGACGCAATGGAGGCTGGAGAGGCCAGCTCTGGCAGCTAAATTGAAATACCCTTCGAAATCGTGAGTATCTCTACCGATTCCCAAGGACTCTTGAGCCTCCTGTCTTTACGTAATATAGCATCATTCACGAAATGGAAATGGGCAAGAGTTTTATTTTCGAAAGACGATGAATTTCCGGAATTTTATGAGGTATTTTTGTGGATTGCAACGATTGTTGAAACGTCGAAGACCTATTTTTTTCCAACTCGGCCAGGGGATGGAGGATTCCTGAGGTTTGGGTCGCTAAAATGTCGGTGTTCACCACCTTGGAATCTTTCATCTCAACGCGCTCTGCTTATTGTGGCATCAAACTGCAATTGTCATCCTGCAAGCACCTGTTGTTCTCTACATGAAGTGGTTGGATTTGAAGCAGAGGTTTGGAAAAGAACTTGAAGTCTTTGCGTTTGATTAAGACAGATGAGTAGATGTCCATAACCAAGACGCACCCTGAGGTAGAAATGTACAATTCGTGACCTCTGCGGTATTGTTTGCGGCTCGGGATGGAATAATTTAGTCAAGCTATGTCCTGAATTATACCCCATTTTGTCACGAGCTTTGCTTTCAATAAAGACTGGAAAGCTGCGAGAGAGTGAGCTTCAGCTGGGGATGTTGCCAGTTGTATTTATGCTGCGGGATTGCTGCAAAGCTGAGACTGGATGAAAGCACAGGATGCCTAGCAGCAATTTTCCACTGAGTCCTCCGAATTGTATCGAATCAGGCTATGGAGTTAAAGGACAAAGCTTTCATTTGCTTGAATCCGGCTCCAGGCTGTTTAAAGAAAATCTAGACGCCGAGCCATCCAGAGGACTTTGTCTCCATGAGTTTTTACCGTTTATTGGTTGTTCAATGGTCACCGTCTGTTACTGACGCTGTCCTTCCATATATCATTGCAGAAGGCTGGCTTCCGTTAGCGGATTTCGACAAAGGCACGTCCAAACGAATGTCCACCATCCAAAGTATAGATTCTCAATACGTGCCCTAAGATCTAAAGAGAATAGGAAAGGATTTCGTTCTGACACACCTCCGGATGAGTTTCCAAGGGGATCATCGAAAGGACCAATGCCAAGCGTTGATGATGAAGAACTGCCAAAGATACGAGAGTATACAAGGCGGAAGGAATCATCACCTTTACGAGAAGATGAGGAGATAGGCGGTTGGGAATATCGTCAAAGCCCGTCCCGTGTAGAAAATGGGGTTACTGCTCTGACTCAGGGTGTAAATAGATATGTTCTTGGAGGATTATTTGTTCTGGGTATGGGAGCTGGAATTGCAGTTGACACCGTTTTGAATGTGGAGCCCAACAATATTGCCTCGCGAGAAGTGATCGATAGACAGACCCCTAATCCTGACGTGTGCATTGCGAATGGAATGAGTGCTATGGTACTCGACCAACGTCTCTTCATCACCTTCAACCCGTAAGTATATCACTTAGTACTGGCTTTTGTGTTGGACTTCCATTGCAATGGGTAGTTTCTCAACTTGTCAAGCTCTCGTTGTGTTTGTGGATGAGTTGCTGACTCGTCTGTTCAAGGATTTTAATTGCTCACACATTAAATAACAAGAAAAGGAAGAGACCTGAGTCACTCGACATCGACTAAGTGATTCAAATCACTCAGTCGATGTCGAGTGAACATTGCATCGGTTTGCTTCACGAAGGCACTGAATCAGGTGCACATTTGCCTAACCAGATTTATTTACTTGGCAAGGTGCCGTTGGTGTCTAATATGGCAAATGTTTATTTTTTATTTTTCACCCTATGTAACATATCGCACATGGGAAGTGTGCTGTCTGATTTTCCAATACTAACTGCCATTTAGTTCTGCATGCTTGGTTCAAATTCATGTAATGATGCCTGTTCCTAGCGCCTTGACACTCTTGGCAAATGTGTTTCCCATGTAAGCACGTGATTCACTGACGTCCAGAGTCGTAGAGAATGGTACCTGTATTATCTTAATCGAGGATGACGTTAGATTATTACCGTACCCTTACATAAGCGTACGTGCATGAAGGAGTACATCAGGGAGCTCTCCTCTTAACTCTGTTTGATCCCTAGCACTGCTGAATTCGACTTAATGCAAGATACATGATATGGTTGAAAACAATAGAAGCTGGGCCTCTCTGACATGGTGTCATTTGTGGACAGCTTCAACGTATACGTTTCTCAGGCGGAGGTGAAACCCGGCTGTGTATTGCTGCAAAGTAATTGGAGAGTGTTAGAGTCCCGGGGACTGGTGAATTCCGAGGAAGTTCGTGATTGCAAACGAAATTTCAACACTTTTGGATTTGTTGGAGATTTGCGTCAAGCACCTGAGATCAACTGTGTATACCATAGCGAGGCTGCTGAAAATCAATTTCTCAAGGATCCTTCGAAAGCTGCTCTGGGTGATGGGTTTCAACCCAAGGACTTCACTCCCGAGTGAAAAAATCATCTCATACCAGAGGATATGTTTCTTCATGAAATTTATGTTTCGAGAAGCTCGCCGATTGAATGAGCCTTCTAACAATGTACACTGACATTTCAGTAACGTATTTGTATATGTTCCGTTTCTTCTGCAATGAAAGCAGAAGATGTAAAATACATAGTTGTTAGAGTATATTTCCAAAGATGAGTATATCCCTGTTTACGTTTCGGCAGGGCTTAGTTCCTTTGGGAGTGTTGAAGGCTAATAGTTTTGTTCCATATTCCAGGACAGTTGTAGCCTTGAACATTGACAAACGTTGTACTGTCAATGGATTGTTTATATAGAACCTGGCCCGAGGGCCTATCCAGGAATTTACCTCTCGTTCAAGGCAGGTAGAGGCTGTAGATGTGATTCGATTCCAGAGTGACGTCTCCTATGAATGCTCTGGATCAGTTTACAAAGCTATTGTGATTTAATGAGTCTGCATCCGCAAAGTCATGTCAATACTCCAACTTCAAGGTAAAATTTTTAAAATATAGGCCCAGGGTACTTTACTCTCTGAGTGTGAATGTATTTTCAAACTGTCGATTATGAGAGTAGCATCCAAGTTTCTATAAGCACACACCGTTGGAACTATCTTTGTTTTTACAATTGTGGAATATTTGATTCTTTCATATTTAAGGTCGCTGTTATATTATAGCTCTTTGCTCAGAGAAGCCTTACTTACCAGATGGTGATGAACTTGCTTACAGTCCTGGATGATGTCAATAATATTGATGACGAAAATAGAACAGCACTTGAAATATTGAGGCAAGAGAAACTCGATGCTGTACAGACTCACTTATCTGGTCAGACCTTTGATAAGTCAAGGTCTGGGTCGACATATATCATGGGACTGTCATTGTGATAACGGAGTGAATGTATTCTACAGCTAGAAACACAACAAAGCTTTTTACTTGATTTGCCAGAGCTACAGAGGGGATTTGCGCCGTAAAAGGTGACAGCAGCAGATGGACTGCTATATATTTATAAGTAGATGGATATGTATCAGTCTGTTGTGAAGAGCTAACACATATGCGTCACTATGTAAGAAGCCGATTGGTACACGCTCTCTAACTCTGCGAAACTTACATATCCCCATAAAAGAAACGTGGAGCAATGACAGGACAGTAGAATCCTCCAATTTGAATTCTTACACCGATAAATATCGGAATAGTTTTTAGGCCTAGATACCACTCCCGATACCTGAAACGAATTCAACCTGGAAGTTCTGGATTGAGCAGATACTTTGGTATCTATTACGTTGATATGACTATTTTGTTTTTCTTGGGTTGTCACACCGATGGCAGTTAAATGGACTTCGTACGTATGTACCCTCATATTTCACACAACCCTCGCTCTCTTAACTTGTGTCTAAAAAACTAAATTGCGTGCAACAACAGAAATTCGCAACAAGCAATAGTTTCTTACCAATGTCCTGAAGTGGGTCCCCTGAGATATTCCATATTATAATACTATTGCGGGCTAGCCCCCTTAACACGTTTAGTTTCATACGTTTTGTACGGCTTGATGGGAAGACCCATCATTATGGCTATTTACTTGGCCCCCGGTCCCCGAGATAAGAGCACGCTCCTCTTTGAGAGATTCGCAATGCAGTAGTACCTACATACTTGTATTTCTCACCTACAGAAATTATTTTCGAGACTCTGAATCCTCATCCTCTCTCATTCTGAGGATAGGACTCACAAATCATACAAAGCCTAATCATCAATTTTAAAAAATCAATAACTGTGAATCATTGATCACAATGAGTGTTTGTTGTATTCTGAAGCGCACAAGTTTGTAAACCCGGACTACGAAAGTAGAATATTCTGTGGAAAGGACTAACGTGAGCATCAGTAATTACTGTAACCAGATGAAACCCCGTGATCCCTTCTCTTGCCACAGAGTAATACATCCATAACTTGATGCGTATCCCTCAAACCTTCTCAAAAGGTGACCATCAAAATGAGTCTCCTTCTCAACGCTTTTTTTAAATAGAATATGTCTTCTCAAAAGGGTTCATTTTAGAAAAATTTTTCTTTGAAGAATTCACGCACTCGTTCAAGGTTGGTATAGAATGAAGAGGGGAAGAGCACAATATAAAGAAAGGGGAGTAAAAGCTTGTTGGACTGATTCGGCTCCAGGGTCTAATAAGCATTTGCGTCTCGAAATAGATCAACAGACAAGTGAAGAATTTTATGCACTAAAGAATGCCATGAGAGAACTTTTACAACCGTGACAATAATTCACACCTAACGTAGCTCCTTGGGGATCACAAGGTCACTGCCTGAGGAAAGTCACTACAGTAGGAAATTTTTCTTCTACGACCTTACTTTCTCTCCCTCTTTTCCTTTTAGTTGTGTCTTTTCATTCTTATAGGTCCAAAAAGCGGTTAAGACCTCTTTCCACCAATTAGAGAGTTTGGTTGCATGGACGCACATTCAGCTGAGTACAATGCTGACGATGTTCAGATGCAACTGAACGGGAGATGGCTTAACGCCAGCCCACAGACCAAGAACGAAAAGAGCGAAGAGCACAATGAATCGTCAATAGATTTCCAAAAACACCTCAAAGTCTTCACAATATTTGCTGGCTACTTGGACCTCTGAATCTGTAACTCCTCATTAGCCATGGCCTCAGAAGAAGAAAATAAAAGGAAAAAGAAGCCTCCATCTCGACTGGTCCTTCGTGCCTGTAATTCAGAACTGTTGATTACAGGGCGTGACAGTTTCTTTGTCGCTTCCTCGAACTACACGCCAAATTATGACCTGATTCATCTCGATAATCCATCACGAGACGCATAATCCATGGAGAAGTCCATGGTAAATCGGGCTCTGTCGTCGTTTAGCAGCTTGCATGGTAGAGTCAGACTGGTAATCAGAGACCTACAGACTTTCTGTACTCGGCTGCTGTGCTATTCCCACTGGTGACAGCTGACTCGCTCCAGTAAACCACAATGCTAATTTGGACAAAGCTACAAGCGTGTCAGCACAGTTCAGGCGAGCTACTGAGAACAACAGTCGCTCTCTCGTAGCCAAGAGGTTTCAATCCCAGATGCTGGCAGTCTCGTCTCTTTGCAGTGCGCACAGGGGGAGAAAGTACTGGAGACTGGTCTTGAGCATGGACCGTATTCCAATCCCTTTCCCCTGCTAAGACAAACTTCTGCTCTGGATAAGAATAGAACAGAGTAGAATCACTGGAAGTTCGTGAAGAGAGAAATTCCGAAGGAGAGTCGGTGGAGTGAAATGAAGAGAGACGATAATATGATCGACAGAAAAACGGGAGGCTCGTTTGGAGATGAATGTAAATTTCCCTTGAAAAGGAAAGTCACGATAGGGTCAAAAAGTCGTAAATATGAATAACCGATAATAGACATCAATCAATATTGAATGCGTGATAAATGCCTCGAGGTTATGATCGGTCAGCATCCGGCTTCCTCAGATACAGATATTATAAGCTTCGGAGCGGGCCTCGTCCTCGAGACTGGGATCAAAAGTTGGCGGGGTCCCTCTTCTCCATAGAGGCAGGAAAGCTAGCGAAACGTTGGTGGAGGAGGAGGAGAATTGATCACGGGTCTCGCGCCACAGCGCATGCGATGCTAACGAGAAAGAGCAGATCGGGGCTATGGCGAATGAGAACTGGGGCGCTGAGTGGGGAGCGGATGGTGGGAGGGGAGAGGGGAGATGGGTGCAGGGCAGGCCCGGGCAGCGGAGGGAAGGGGAGGGGAGAGGAGACGAGCAGCGCGAGGCCCATGGACATGTGATGGCAATTGGCCCGATAGGCACGGCACCATAGCAGCAGCCATGGGGACCACCCGTGGCGCGTATGGAGCGATATTCGTGCGTGAAAGGCCTGCACAAGGGCTCCCTCCAGACAGGCGGAAAACATCGGCCAGCAGCCCAGGCCCGGCCCGACAATCAGAGAGAGGGCGAGGGGGGCGGAAAACGAGAGGAGTGGGCGAGAGAGAGAGAGAGACATGGGCGAGCTGGGACTGGGAACGAAACCATGTAGCGAAATAGTGCTCGGGTACGGTCATGGCCGAGGAGAGGAACGCAGTGCTGGGAATGATGAGCGGACGTGCGGCGACGGATCCCAATTTGGGCTAGCTCTGGTTGTAGTAGGATAGCACGATGGCTGCGAAATCTCTGATTCCCGGGACGAAGGAGTCTGCTACTTGCTGCCACTCTTGCTGACGGACCCTATATCTGTTTCCCAGCGAAATTCCTCTGGTGATCGCACCTGGTTGAATCGGGACTATTCTTCGGCCTGAGAAACTTGAGCTGAGGAGACGTCTGGATCTTCGACAGCGCAGTTCAGAGCTCGTCACATGTATGATGAAGAGCTCATCCGAGGCCAATGAGCACAGTGCGATTGCGGTGGGCGTGAGTGCACGTCGTGTGCTGCATCTATCTGTCCGTCGCAGCTGCGAGTGAGAGCAGGAGGTAAATTCCTAGGCCGATCGCTGGCCGATTGACCCACAGCTGACTCCTGGCCGCGATCATGATTGCAAATCCGAGTTGACCCAGAAAGTCTTGGGCCCGAATGTGAGTAACTGTCTGGCTCAATGATCCGGGGATCGGAAATCTTGAGAGATCTCCCATGAGTTACAAGTGCCCCCGGGATGTATAAAGCTTACCTTTTTCTGATGGAATCGTATAATTGTAGGCGAGAGGTGAGGGAGAGGGAGAGTGAGAGAGCGGTGAGAGAGGTAGATCGGTGATTGGTGCGGGGAGGGAGAAGCAAGACGGGTTCACGAGGCAGAAGTGAACCTCCACTCCTCGTGCATTTGGTGTAATGTAATCTGCTGTCACTATGACTTTTAATAATAATAACTTGGACTCACAACGATAACGTTTTATAATTGCCGAGATTGAGGGAGGAGAGAGAGAAGAGAGTCTGTTGTTCTTGCAGCTGCTGCTCGTTGCTTGCCTGCACAAGTTTTCGTGGGAACTACGCACGATCCAGGTGGGCCAGGGCTCCCTGCTTGCTTGTTTGCATGCGTGCCTGCCTGTTTGCTGCCACTCAATTTGCGAGCGGTTGCAGTGGTTTTCGAAGAGCGATCAGTAATCTATAGGATTGAATCATTGAGAAGAGTGGTGTGTCAAGAGGGAGGTAGGGAGGGCGGGACGAGGGAGAGAGATGTGCGAGGCCTCTCTTGCCGCCTGCCCACCTGCCTGCGCATCCTTCTTCTCCACGGAAGAATCTTCACTCGGACGCAGCAGCAGGAGCGGCGGGAGAGCTCTCCTTCTTCGATCGACCTGCTCCGCTTGCACCCTCGCCCCGGGGGCTCATTCCCTCGCGGAGCTCCTCTAGCTGGCTCCGAAATTCGCAGATCGAAATCCAGTCCTCCGGGACCAGCCACAGCTGGGAATGTGAATGGGAATGGCCGCCTGAATGGGAATCAGATCGCCAATCTTCTCACCATTCTCTAGCAGCAGCAGCTGAGCTGACACCAGTCAGGGTACCCCGGGACTCGATTCCGGGCAATTGCGCGATCGAGCTCCAGAACAGCTCACGGATCCAGGGGGTCGGTCGGGGAATGGTTCCAGCGTCGGGCGCGCATCGAAGCTAAGGATCGAGGAAGGATTCACAGGTGCAGGTCGATCGACGGACTGACAGGGCAGGGGCAGGGGGAGGGATTGTGGATGTGATGAAGCACTCGACGCCACGCCGGGGAGGGGCGGGCAAGGGATTCATGGCGCATATGGAGGAGAAGAAGAAGCTGGTGGTGGTGATCGCGGCGTTTCTGACGAGCGCAGCCATCGTCCTGCTGCTGAATGGGCTGCGCGAGCACGCCATCGCGGACTTGGTGCAGAACCTGCGCACCTCGGCGCTTGGCGGCGCGCCGGAGGAGCAGGTTGCGCCGGCGTGGGCCAACTTCTCGAACATCTACGTGCCGCCGGGCGCCGGCTACAGCAGCACCTTGCACCAGCTGCTGCAGGCGAACGGCACGACTGCGTGCCACAACCAGAGCACCAACTTCACGCGCCTCGAGGGCCTACCACGGTCGAAGAAGGGCAAGGTGCTGCTGAAGACGAACACGCGGTACCAGTTCTCGCTCGTGGCCTACACGGCGGACGGCAAGCGGCGGTGCGCGGGCGGCGACTACTACGAGGTGGATCTGCACAACGAGCGCTACCGCGCGCGGCTGCCGACCACGGACTTCGACAACGGCACCTACGGGCTGGAGCTGGAGGTGCCGGCGCGGTGGGCCGGCGTGTTCAGCCTGGAGATCTGGCTGCTGTTCGGCAACTGGCACGGCATGGACATCTTCGGCGAGCAGTACGCCGTGCTGCAGGTGGTGACGGCGCAGGAGCTGCACGTGATTCTGCCGCAGGCGCAGCTGCTGGACGCGACGTTCCAGCGCAACATGACGCGGTGCGCGGCGCAGGACTTCACGCGGCCGCACTGGTCGGGGCGCTGGACGCGCGGCTGGTTCAACGAGGCCTGCGAGGCCGACGAGGAGAAGCGGTTCCGGTGCCTGCCGGGCGAGCACTTCGGGTGCGAGGAGCCGTGGTGCGCCGGGCCGCTGGGGCGCTTGGAGAGCAACGGCTGGAGCTACTCGGCGCACTGCTCCTTCAAGATCTTCGAGCGCGACGAGGCCTGGAGCTGCCTGGACGGGCGCTGGCTCTTCATGTGGGGCGACTCCAACTTCCAGGACACGGTGCGCAACCTGCTGCTCTTCATACTTGACTGGCAGCTGCCCCCCAAAGCCAACCTGGCCGACTTCCAGCTCGAGCGCAAGTACGAGCAGTTCTTCATCAACCCGGCGCGGCCCTCGCAGGCCTTCCAGGTCAGCATGGTGTTCAACGGCGCCAACCAGTACTGGGACAACGGCGAGGGCCTGCACACGCTGGAGCACACCGAGCACCAGGACACCGTCGCGACGCACTTCAATGGGTCGCGCGCGCCCGATACCATCATCATGAACTCGGGCCTGCACGACGGCTACAAGGAGATCGAGGACTACCTGGCCGTCGCGGACTTCGCCGTCCAATGGTGGGTCGACTTCTACACGTCGCTGCCGGCCGACCGCAAGCCGCAACTCGTCTGGCGCACCACCGTCGCGCCGGCCGGCAAGTCGCGCAACATGCCCGGCAACCCGCACAAGATGGAGTCCTACAACCACGTCATGGTCGAGAAGCTGCGCGCCGAGCGCCACCGCATGCCCGTCAAGTTCGTCGACGGCTTCGACCTCACCTTCCCGTTCCACTACACCAACGAGTTCAGCGACGGCGGCCACTACGGGCGCGCGCCCGGCGTCGCGCTCCCGCCCTGGCACCGCAAGCCCCACTGGTACTTCGTCGACATCATGCTGGCCCACATCTTCCTCAACGCCATCTGCCCCGCCACCTGATCTCCCGTCGCGCGCCTTCACGTCGTCGCGGGCTCCGGTCGCGATTCTTTCCATTCGGCTCGACGCCTCGGCTCCTATGGGGATCGAGCCGCCGCAGATCGGCTCGTGCGCCAATAAGCGTCTTCGGCTCGGGCTCGATCTGCTGCTGCTCTTCGGACCTCCGAGAGGGGCTGGCTGGCCATGGCGGGGAGCGAGTTTAGAAGCAGAGAGATCAGTATGCTGGCCCGCTGCAGAGAGAGCGTCGGGCCATGCGAGTTCCCCAGAAATAGAGAGAGAGAGAGAGAGATAGTCAAAATACGAGATTTGGAGTCGTCGACGAGAAGTCAGATTTAGGCAGAAAACGGCAAATGACAACTCGAGTCGTGGGCGGTGGGGTGGGATGGGACGAAACGGGGTATTCAGTATTCATTCAATCGACGGATAAATTCATTAGCGGAGTCAATAGCGGTGTCAATGTGGATCCGCGAGTCTGCCCACACCTTGGAGTTGCTATCGATTATTTTTTTTTCCAGCGTCGCTTTCACATTGAGAGGGCTCTGGCCTCTCCACCGGAGCTCACCGTCGATCATCCCTCGCTCACACAGTGCGCTCCGGCGGGGTAGCTAGAAACGAATTTTTTTATTTTTTTTATTATCCTTTCCCCAAACGATCCACGGAGATCCGCCCCTTGCGCTTCCGCTGCCTGGACTTGAGTTGGCGGGTGGATTGCGCCCGGGGGAGATGCGGGGCGGCTCCGAGGAGCCCAGCCAGTGCATGCAGAATGTCACATATAATCCTCAGCTTGTCTTTATCTCGGAAATGTACATAATTCAATTCGCCACTCGTACAAGTGGAAGAATAAAAGAGCTCCACTTTATTATTGTTATCATTCTCAATCTTCTTCAGCATCATTTCATTTCTGTCTGTCTGTCTGCAGCAGCAGCCAATCCTGCAGTATTGCCCCGTGCAGCAGAAAATCGTCATCGAGGTCTGTCATCCACATTCACGCTCCGCAGGGTTTACGCTTCCTCTCTGGATCATCGGTTTCCACGCTTTCCGAGCTCGTGAGAGCGCGAGGTGAGACAGCGTGATGCGCATTTTCTCTCCCTCACTCTCGTCCCTTGAGCTTCCACCCTTCCTTACGAGGCTCGTCCTGCCTTCTCGACCAAGGTACCATGCTGCTGGCCCAGCTGCGTCCCGAGGATCGTCCGGACTATCCACTTTTGAAGAACTCGGGGCCCCAATGCGCAGGCCTGCCTCGTGTGGCGAGGCGTATTCTACCTGGACCTTTACCATGGAATGTGCGCTTTTAGTCCCCTTTGCGTTCCAGTAGGGCCGGGCCGGAATCAGCCATAGACATAGGAGGCTTATTCATGTGTGGATGGATCGTAGGCTAGGCTCGACGATTCAACCACGAGAATGAAGTCGATCGAGTTTCCTGAATCGTGCAGTCTAGAGATGGTCGGTTACATCTCTCCCGTTCGAGAGAAGGACCCTTGATGACACTCGTGCGTGGATTGCTCTCTGGACCGCAAGGCTAGCTGTCGACATCTTCCCTCGGTATGACAAGTCAACTCATGCGGCGCAAGTTGCCCCCGCCAGAGAATTCTCGCAAGGCTCGACTCGTTTTATTTTTTCGTACTGGCTGCAGCCGCCGGCGAACCCTCCAGGGAAGGGCCATCGCCTCTGAATAGGTCCGAGAAAACGATCAGTGAGCCTCACGTGGAGCGAACTCAGTCGATCGGGAAACTCAGATGGGGCTGATCCGTGCACCTCGACGGGATTAGACAACAGCTGCTTCATCAGCAGCGATCCAGGATCCAACTCGAACCTTAGCCCGTGTCGTAGATCGGTCGTTTGAAACGGAGACTAGAGGGCGAAGAAGTCTTGTGGCGATGACGATGAGTCCAGAAAGTCAGTCGCGGCCCTCGGAGCAGTACAGACTCCCTCCTTCTGACTTCTGACAGTGACGCGAGCGCGGCGTCGATCGCTTTTGTCTGAGCCTCATCCTTCGAGACAACAGAATGAACTCAATTACGGGATCGTACGCAGACAAGACACGGGAAAGAGATTTCAAGATAATTTCTCGACCGTGTAAGACTGCACAGCCCGCCATCGTGGACATGGTGCCGGAATCGGTTGTCGAGATATATGTATTTTATGCGGCGAGAGAGCGCTGGACCGACGTGTCGTGCAGAGGTGGGGAGCTCGCTCGAGCTTGTGGAGCCTACCAGCCCTCGTGCTGCACATGAATCCAACAAAACGGATCTAGAGGCTGTTTATGTTCATCGCCTCTCGACCTCAAGCTTCCCTCTCCAGCCAGCCATCCGAGTGCCAGCTGCAGCTTTTTGTAGGTTCATAAATGAGTTTGACCTGGGCTAAGTCGTCATCATCACAGTGGCCCATTAATGAATGCCTGACTTCCTGTCCACAGCGCTCAGTGGGGCTTGGGTGGTCTTGATCATCTTTCCTTCGGCGTGGGGTGATTTGTGTTCAGGCTTGGCTTCTGTTTGATTTTACCATTTGATCAGTCCAACTGATAATGCAATTTATGTTTTTGTTCAGCACGAGGTCGGTTGCACATCTGGGGATTAGGAAACACCATGCGCCTCCATCCATTTCTGAGGGAGGGAGAGCCTTCTCCGATGCTCTGTTATAGTTACCTCGTCTCCAGCCTCGACCCAAAAATGGCGGAGGACGGATTCCACTCTCGCCTGGACCGAGGCTCGTCACGTGGAGGTGGACGGACGGGACGGCCGAGGATCACGGCACGAGCCCGGGCTTGAATTCCGAGGGTCGAGTGCACAAGTGCACTAGTCACCGCATCCCATCCTATCCCATCGCAGCGCTCACACAAGGACGAGGTCGGGGCATCGAGAAGGTGCGAGAGGTATCCCGGGCGGTGCTCTGGACCAAACAAACTGGAGGAGGCTAAGGGCGCACTCCAGCACTCCAGAACTCCAGAACTCGAGCAGAGCACGTGCAGTCTGAGACTTTTGAGCTGAGCTTTACGTCATCTCGACACTTATTCCCCGGAAGCATCTCTCCCTCGACTCGACTCGACTCGACTGGCAGTTTCCCGATGTCCCATCGCGCGATGCGAGGAAGACACTCGTGACGCGAGACTGTACCGCTCACGGTGAGTCGGATCTTGTGCTCCCGTTCACAGCGCAGCAGCAGCAGAACCCATCCCAGCGGGTGCCCGTGAGTTTCGATCGGAGGCGCACGGCACGGCACCACGAGATCTAGTCCCTGGTGCTCGAGAACACCACCTTCGCGTCAGTCAGTCAGTCAGTCAGTCAGTCGGTCGGAGTCCTCCCTTGCTCTTCGTACGACCGTCCTCGCCCCCGAGCATCGGTCGACATTCCGATCAGATTCTGTGACGGGCTTGTACTGCAAGCAAGAGATCGTTGTGTCTTCGAGTCTACGTCTCCCCTTACGCCTTCACTGCCCAGATCACCTCTCATTGCCCTGATCGGACTGCTCCCACGGTCACTGACCTTGGCATCCATGGATGCCAAGGTCAGTGAATCCACGAATCCTGATTGAAGAATGCCATGGTGACCCATGGCACTCGATCTTCATGTGACCGACCGTATCGTCCCTCCGATCAAGGTTCAAGGACCTGGAGGCTCGCGTGAGATGATTGATTGGAGGTCTGAGTCGTCCATGCTTCCGGGAGACGAGCGCCCCGTTTGGACCCGAGTCGAGATTTGGCTTGCGTCCTGCGTCCAGCATTCGCACCTGAATGTTGTTACGTGACGTGGGATTTGAGAACACATGATGCTCTCGACCTCGACCGGATGCAACCGGAACGTAACGGAGGGCTGATCTTCGCAGCCAGACGGTCGCGTCATGATCAAGTTCTCCTCGAGCTTCGTCCGCCGTTGGGCCGCCACCATGAATGAAGTACACGGAGAGCCAAGAAGGCGGCGAGATGGAAGACTGCAAGATCAGTGACCTCCAAGAGAGGCAGAGTTTTCTTCACACGGTGATGGCAGTCAGTGACTAAACTGCAGTCCGATCTTTCCAGGCACGGATCGATAGTCGTCGTCATCGTTGGAACTTGAGCCGTCTCAAGCTCCAATGATATCGTGACCGATCTCGCTGATGCAAAGACCACGAATTGCAGTTTCACTCGATGCTTTCATCGAGCTGGTGCCAATGAATTTCCATCTACGTTTCGGAAGCGATATCACGCTTGCTGGTGACAGCGAAGGTCAACCTGAATGAACCACGCGCACATGGACTGACAGCTCGCTCGTCTCGAGCATCAAGATCTTGCAGTATGCAAGGAACCTGATCCGGGAAAGGATTTCCGAAGGGCCGTTCATTCCAATTTATACGGATTTGATCCTCCGTCACTGCCGTCCTGGCCCTGAAATCTTGAGGTCAGCGGATCGAGAGCGATTTGCTGAAGCTGTACAAGTACATGTTCGGATCGAACCCGAACAAAAGGACGAAATCGTTCGATTGAAGCCAACCTCGCGGGCTCTGGTTCGAGGAGGGAGGACCGGATATCACCACATTCCTTGCAAGTATTCTTCTGATCAGTCAGTACTCCGACGTGGATTGCTCGCTGGAGCCTTGGATTGGAGGTTTTGATCAAATTGCTTCCTGTAGCACGTACTTACAGAGCAGACAGAAGCTCCGCAGGCCTCCCGTTTATGGATGGGTGAATGGGTGTCCAAGCTCTGCACCTCCTGTGAGAAGCTGCGTCGCACATTCTCTCACTTATCACTTGATGCTAACTAACAAAACCGGTGAGTCCTTGAACAAATCTTCCTAGGCCAGGGGCCGAGGACGAATGATGATGATGATGATGAGCTTGCTCGGTTGCTCCACCGATCTGCTTTGGCACGAACCCTCTACAATGTTCCGATCGCTAATCACACAAACGAAACGAAACGATGTCGAACTGATTCGGGGCACATAGTAGTAGACTGTGACTGATTGCACTGAGTGAGTACTAGATCCTCTGATCATTGGTTCCTTCAGCACTGTGCCCGTGCTGAAGGTGGTGTGATAATGTTGCTACCCTCATTCTGATCGAGTCATGGGCCTTATAGCACGGAATCCACTTAATACGCGCTTCTCATGGTATGACGTTCTCTGACGTAAGCTTCACAAGAATGATATTCAACCTCTGTAGAATCTCCTTGCTCACTGGATGGTGATATATCCATTCTTCAACAAGAAACAAAAGCTCCGCACCATCAATCGACAATTTCACCGGCATCCCCTGAAAGTGCTCATGTACGGATCGAGCCACGGGAACGAATGTGTAACAAGTCAGACCTCAGGCAAAGGGAGAGCGAACGAGAGAGCACGCACTTTCTAGGTTGCAAAGTCAACGAGATGGTTATTGAAGGCGAGTTCTTGAACTATCTGATGATGTCTAATCGGATTTCTGAGCAGTTATGTGAACGATATCATACTCGAAGATGATCATGGTGATGATGAGGAGGAGAGGAGGATAAAGTCTACCAATCAGATCCACTGTTGTGAATGTGTGTCCGTCCCCTCTTCAGTTCCGGAACGTGTCAGACGTTGGAAATTCCATTCCATCTGTTAAGCTGAGCGAGCTTTTGACAGAGCTGGCAGGTCACTGAGCTGATTGTACCAGTGCGTTGCTTCAGTCGTGAAGAACCTGTCATCTGCTACTGAGTGCAATCATATATCCATCGGTGAAGGAACACAATGGGCAAAGATTTTGGGCAAACGTTGCTGATGATCTTCTCCCCGCTCTCACATTCACGACCTGGGAGAGAACACAGCCGGGGTCTGATAAATCTACGGCCAAGAAATAGTTTGTATGGATGGATCATGATGCCTTGAGCACGAGAGCCAGGCCCAGATTCGCAGCCATTATTTCTCCCTAAAAACGTCTGTCTACGCTATTTATTTATCATTGGAGTGTAGATCCAGCTGTGAAGAAGAGTAAATTTAATACATGTGTATGCCCAATGACATCAACGAAGAATGTTAATTTTTAAGAACAAGACAGTTTTCGTCTCAAATGGATCCGGAATTTGCCTAAAAGTTAGCTGATTCTTTGTCCCCATTGTTTAAAAAATTGATAATAGTAAAACTTCGACTGATTGTGTTACAGACCAAGATTTGCATGTTGTGGTTCCCGAGGGATGGATAACACAGGTGAGGAACAATCTAGTTAAGGGAAAGGAAAAAACGTGCAAATTGTTGGCTGGACCAACCTCATTATTGTCCTCTCTAGCATGATTTTCACGTGCTACTCTAGTATGGAGTAACACATATGGAATAACGTTCCCAGACAATTATAGGTGTGCAACATAATATGTGAGAAGATGTGTCACTCGCATGATCATAATATGCTGCTTAAATCATACCTCACATATCTGTTGCTGTATATAACATTCCTCTTGCAAAGCAATAATCTCAGGTGATTATCGTGTGGATTGTGGATATATTGCGATTGTATCAGATCTTTCGTGTATCGAAATATTTATCATTCCGAATCTACAACGACTTAGTACATGCTACTCACTTGGTTTTCACTATTAGGTTCTCTATATACTTTCTTTGGATATCACAAATGTGTATCATCGTTTGACCTGTGCTATGAAAGAGATCCCATGGCTTGTTCTTGAGGCCTTGCTCATAGAACCGGTTGTAAATCTTCAGTCAAGTCTTTTGGGTGTTATCTATCTTCATTTTAATATTCTCTTTGAGAATTTCGTTGCGGAGGTTCAAGGAGAGGTAATCTTTGCCAATTAACATGGTGAGTTGCTAACAGAGGAGTCCGAAGAAGTTTGGCAGTAAAGTCAAACATCACGACTACATAAACAGTGACACATACTGAATTGTATGAATCTTTGGCATCAGTCGTCAAAAGCTACGGAAAATCGAAATCGCGTGTACCTGTGGTAGTCCTTGACAATATACTTCGGGTATAATTCATCGAAAAATAGAGGCTAATGGTCATACCGTACGTACATGTGATCTCTGAAGACGATTTAACTTTATGCGTTGTAGAAAGAGCACATCCACTTCCTTCAGTTTCATATGAAACCTCGTACCATTTTACTTCATATATCTTTATTTACTTTCACAATAAAAGTGTGTAATTTCGACCATACTTACGACATCGGTTCTGAAAAATCAGTTTTGTCTCCAGTCAGGTCAAACTCGACTGCAATTTGAACCATGAAAGTCAGAGGTCTGATCCAAGTTAGTCTCAAAACATGCACCAGGAATTAAATCAACACCACTTAAATAATCTGTCAAAAAAGGTTTTCTGACCTCAAACGGTGAAACTGGTAATGACGAGGTGGTCGATCTCACAATCATACAGATGACAAATTCAGTGTCGGTGGGACATCTTGCTCTCACAGCTACGATCGCAAATGTGGGCCTCCTGGATTTTTCTTACATCTCCTGTATCAGAGTGCCCCATTATCCTACAGATACATCTGTAAACACCAGCTGCGCTCCTCGAATTCCAGCATTACGAGTGAAGTATGTAGAAAGCAGGAATTCAGGCCACACACAAACATAAGTTACACAACTTCCGATAAATCAACAGGTGCGACAGGTAGATTTCCACTTTACAATAGGTGTGATGTCTAGTGTGCGGAGCACACAGATATTCTTTGAGTCGAAGTTTACTAAGATGGTACTGAAAAGGGTGACAATCTTGTAAAAGCTGACCCAAGATGCTTTCCTGGTTGGTTTCTTCCGTATGTACAGAAGCCATGTTCACATTCAATTTGCTGATCTAGAGGTCAAAAGAGTAGCTCCAGCCAAGTATGTCTAACAGTAGAGATGTCTTGACTATGAAAGAGAACCGTTGAATTTCTTCGAGGGTACACTCCGTTCTCATGAGAGTAATAAAGACTACTGAAGCCGAATTTGTACAAAATACTCTGAAACTAAAGCTCATGAAGGGCATCAAACAATCCTCTTCCTCGGCCATTTGCCCCTTCGAGAGCTAATAACTCCTCAATCGAGAAGGAGAAAGAGCAGACACACTTCAAGTCGGCCTTTCATTAACTTCAAAGGTGGCAAAATACACACTTCTGCCTTGCAGCTTACCAAGTTGAGCCTGCCTGTTGATGGCCAGACAGAAGTATGACGCACATTGGAACCTAAAGCCTCGTCTAAGTTCCGCATGTGTGCTCCCACACCACCTGCGTATATCCAGAACTTCTGTGCACATGGGACTTCCTAACTTCAAGAATCAACTGATGAATGGCCAGCTAAGAGCTCATGACTCTAATTTCCAGACGGCAATATATAACTTTGGTTCACGTGATGTTAAGGACCAACTCAGTTACAAGTTCTAACAAAACTTCTGGCTGGCCAATTCTAGAGAGTTATTATCCAGTAATTACGTTAACAGAATGAAGACTAATTTCTCTCGCTGCACTTTGATTGACATGTTCTAAGATAATGAACAAAGTGCGCATGCAATTTATCCTCTGATGACTCTTTGCGTCATCTCTGTCTCGCAGAGGATCCTAATGTTTGATTTTCCAGACCTAAGTTTTACTATAAGTCTCCGCAGTAGGAGGTACATGAAGGCTCCAAACGGCAACAATGGAAGCGAAGTTTTGCCTTAAGTCCACTAATTTAGGAATTCACCTCATCAAATTTCTCTTCTGGCTTACGCCAAAGAGGATAGGAGTAGTCTACACTAGCTGCAGGTAATGGGTCAGGTAATGGGTGAAGAAGTACCATTTGGACCAGTAGAAGATGGAGGACTTTCCCCTCTACCTTTAGAAACAAGATCTTGGATAGTCGAAACCATGAGCTTGCAGTTGATGGGTTTCGTCAAGTACGCATCCATGCCAACCGACAGACACCTCTCCTCGTCGCTTGCCAACGCATGGGCAGTTAAAGCTACGATCGGTATGTGCCGACTCGTGTTCTCCTCTGCTTCCCTTATGGCCTTGGTCGCGCTGTACCCGTCCATCACAGGCATCTGCAGATACATTGTACCTTGAGTTGTAAGTCAAAGACATGCGCCAAGGAAATTAAAGCAGGGAGAGATGCGGTTGAAAATTTTCACACCATATTCAGTAATATGGTGTGAAAGTTTGAGCCCAGGGCTGGCGAGTCAACTCACTAGGAGTGGCAAGAGCCCGCATCTACGATAGTCACACTTAATCCCAGAGTAAACGAAATTACCCTAAAACCTTAAAACCCTGCAAACTACTACTTCTCAGGTTCACGACCAGAAGTAGAGAGTGAAATTGGACACAAGAGAAGTAGTACAGAACAAGTTAGGTTCACGAAATTTGCTGCTTCCAAAGACCCAGTGCATAGAAGAATGAGCTTACCGCGCAATCCATAAGAATGAGGTCAAAACAAGGGACGTCGGAAGGCGACAATTCACCATTAGCCGGTCCTGCGTCGGTTGCCTCCACTGCTTTAGCAACGGCGGTCACGGCTTGGAGGCCATCTCCTACTACCGTCACAGTAGCTCCGAGCTTCTTTAGCATCATACTTGCGAGTCTCTGAAGAACGGGGGTGTCCTCTACGAGAAGAATATGTATGCTGGCCAGGGCCTTCGGTCCAACTGCTCCAGTCCCTGTTAAATGGTTCATTATGCTATTTGTGCTGATATCTACTGCAGCAACTCGGGTTTCACTATTTGAGACAGCTCCCTGAGGCGTCTCATGAAGACTAGAACATGCAGAAAGCAAGCTTTGTCTCCTATGAGTTCTACTTGGCAAACTCAAATCTATGACGGGTCCACTCCATTCCTCTTCAAGATCTTTGCTGATGACACCATCCTTGCGAACTTCTATAACACCGTCCGCAGAAGCGTCCACACCTTCAGGTGTGATGAGGCCACTTGTGGGAGACTGCGGGGTACTTGTACTAAACCCTGGACTCATCCCGTGATTGTCATCAGAGCTGTACGGAAGATCCACCAGAAGTACTTGACGCAACAAGGGCAGCCCTTTACAGGGTAAATTTGGTGATGGGTTCATCTCCAGAGACATTTCTTGCATATAAAGATTATCCCGTCCATCTATGGGTTTCCTGGGTTTCTCCTGAGAATCTGTATAGCAATGATTCAAGCCGGCATCGTTAAACTTTTTTGAAGCAAGCCTTGATTTATGGTACATAAGATCTTCATCGATAGAAGGTTGCACAACTGACATTGATCTGTCACTCGGAGTCCAAGCATAAGATCCAGAGAGCTCCCTGAAGTCTGCAGCACGGTTCATCAGATTTTCACCTTCATAATATGTAGTCCTAAGCCTCGGAGTAGAGGGACTCGTTGACTGGTAGCTATTAAGGTCCCAGTGCTGCTGTTCCATCTTCCCAGCACTAGACATTAAAGGTAGCAATCTCCTCAACTTACTGCCGTGCAGCGGTTTGTTTATGACCAAGAAACACCTGTCTGCTTGCAATGCTTGTTTCCACCTAGCTCCACAGTCAGGAGCGACCACCCATGCCACGGCTACGGAGTTTTGAACATGGATTTTTACCATACGATCCAGAAGATCTTGCATATGTGGTGGCAATTTATCAGTATCTGATCTGCACAGTGAACTATCTCTTGAACCAAGGATACCAGGTTCTAGCAATGTATTATCTAACCCGATTTGCATACTAGGATGCATTGTTACATCAACGAGGGTTAAAATTGGTGGAAAATTTACAGATTCTAACATGTTTTCGGATACATGGCTGCTGGATTCTGGACTTTGAAATAGTGTAGGTGAAGGAGGATAATCTACAACGGCATGACTTAAATCATGAGTTCCACCATCTTTCACAGACTTCGGATCTACTCCCGCAACTTTGCACATATCTTCTAGAGCGGGAATGATCTCCTCCCACACCTTGATACAAGTCACTTTTAACCCCCTTCTTTCTAACCAACGCACTATAACTCCTTGTGCAGCGCTCTCTTCCATGGCAACCAGAACTTGCGTTCGCTCGAGCACCTCTGGAGATGGCGCTTTCACCGGCGCAAACAGATTCGACGGAGATCCTAACAATGAGTTCAACCCATCAGGAGACGGTGAGCTTATGGGTCTCGCCACGATGGAGGTCAATCTCTCCACGATGGGATCACAAGCCTTCTCCAGAACCACGTGAAATCGCATCAATGTGCCAGATCCTTGATGCGGAACGACTGCCACTTCACCTCCCATCAAGTTCACAAGGGATCTGACAATATACAGGCCTAGGCCAGAACCACCATGCGTTCGAGTGGTAGAGGAATCTCCCTGGACAAAGCTGTCGAATACAGATTCACGCAGCTCCACGGGAATACCGCATCCTGAAATTAAACAGACATGGAACACGGCAGGATAATGATTATAACCAGAAACGAGGTGATGTATGAGTCAACAGGTACAGAAAAGGCAGGGCTAGCGAACTGTGACGAACGCTGACCTACAGCGAATCGACGAATCCAACTGTGTGTTTAATTAATAGACTTTGAACACAGAACACATCGCTAGGGTCACCTACCAGTATCTTCGACCTCAAACACAATGGCCAGCTTGTTCTCCACTCCAGAAGTCAACGGTCCAGAACCCTTATCCCGCCACGAAGCGTGCATTGTCAGACTATGTTCTGGAAGCTTTCCCCCTGGTTCCAGGAGCGTCTGGTCCACGAAACCCCGAACTAGTACGTGTCCTTGAGTCGTAAATTTAACGGAGTTTGAGAGCAGATTACTGAAAATTTGGCGGAGTCGGGTAGAATCACCTTTCACGATGGGAGGAATATCATCTATTTTCCAACGAAAGAAATGTCAAATACTGGCGTCAATTGCTCTACGCAATCCATAGTTTGAAGCGGAAATAGTACGAATCTTAGCCCCTTATCCATCTTCCTTATATCCTGGTGAAACGTTCATGAAATTGTCCTCTCGAGGAATATTTTTGCGCGGCAAAATATTGCTTACCTGCTAGATCAAGAGTAACATCAACGCCAGACCCATGTGACTGTGCTGCAAACATGTCCACCAGAGATTCGAGCTCGTCCTCGATACTGAAGGGCACTACTTCTAGCTCCATTCTTCCAGCTTCGACCTGCTTGAAAGGCAGGTACCACAGAGTTGTTCAGTAAATCAAAACTTCAGCACTCCATGACATACCAGAAAGTGTTTTCATGAAACAATTCGTAGCCAAACAAAATGTTGCAACAGTCGTCTGCGATGAAAAAACAAGTATTATTATAGCAAAAAATACCTTACTAAAATTTCAAGTGATAACTTAACAATCTACCTAAGACTGCTCTTTATACCGAGACGAACTTGGCCAACAAGTTGAGGTCGGAAAATTACCTTACTGATATCCAACACATTATTAACAAGAGCAAGGAGCCCCGTAGCGCAACGCCGAATTTGAGACACTGATATTTCTTGTTCGGATGTCAAAGTATCACATGATAACAAGTCCAGCAAACCGATGATACCTGCCATAGGAGTCCTCAATTCATGGCTGCAGATTAATGGAACACAAGTATTAGTACAACAGTCATAGTTCCAATTTGAATGGAGGTAAGGTGGGACGTAATGACGCACTAACCATATACACACGTACTTAGTCATAACCATCTGGAAATTCAAATGGTTGATTATAAGGATCATTTCTGATGGAAAGCTGAGTTGAAATTCCCCATTGAATACGGAAAAACCAAGGGTGGGTCCAGATTATTATGTTCAGAATTTAGACCAATCATATGATTTGGACAACATTGGGTAATTCAAATTGCGCATGTTTGACCAACCTCATATTTGCCAGAAATTGACTTTTATAGTTGCTGGATTGCTCTGCTCGATGTTTCCCCACGAGCTGACGAATAAGCTCTTGACGAAGTTGCATCTCTGTGCTCATCTTACTGGTGAGAAAGCAGATAAAGACGCAACCCAAAATGAGGACACCAATGGCTGTGCCAACTGAGACACCAATAACAGTCCGATTGCGCGCATCTATTCTTCCCATGATAGATACCCGCGGAACAATCACAACTGCCGTCTGTACACAAACACGAAAAACGTAAGCCTTTGGCATCCAAACACAATAAGATAACGTAAATCGCACGATAGACAGGCTGGCGACACAAGTACTAATAAGGTCTCAATCAAAACTTCATAATTACAGAGGTCGAGTGATGGATGAAAGACATACCAGATTCAAATTCTCAAATGGCACCTGTGTAAGGGGCATAGTGTCAATGTAGTATTTATGACCCAGAAGAACGACATTGTCACTGTGTGTCTCGGTCTTTCCCATTATATTATAGCCAACTGAAGAGGCCAGAAATTGTGCGGCAGCCTTAACGATTGGATTCGATGCATTCTGAGGACTCACGAATACATCCGTTGAGTCTTCATAAGAGACAGCAAGAATTGCAGAATTATCCGTACCATTCTTCCTGCAAGAACATACTTGTGTAAGATTGAAGGAGGCTTATTAGATATGCGGAAAAGCAGACGGTAGCAACTCTATACATGATATTGAGGAACCATAAACTAACTTTACCAATCATTCAAAAGTCTTTTCAGTCTTACCATTCAAAATACAGGTAGCCTTCAAGAAGATCTACATTGGCCAGATAGCGGTTCAGATATTGAAATGTTGTTGTAATTGCTGCTAACCCCAGAAACTCATGGCTGTTTATGTCTTTCACAGGAACTGCCGGTGACACAACCGGCTCCCCATTTAAGCTAGGGGCTATTGTCCAATACACCTGGCGCACACATCATGCCATTGAACAGGAAGAAAACAGTGAGCCCCCGCAGCAAACACCACAATAATTAAAACTCTTGGATCCCTAATGAGATGCTTTCGATGACCATTAAAAAGAGCTTTATAACGTAGTACCTCTTCGGGTTTCTTGTTGAGTACGTTCTGTGCACTTATAGGAAACGGGGGATTCTTCTTCAGCTTCGGTGGATTCAACGTAGACTCATTGATCGCCCCTGTAACATTCTGCAAAATCCGAGTAAAACTAAATGAGTGCACAAAAAAAATTTCGTCAAACTCTCGGAAACAACCAACTTCAGAGAAATAAGTCCAAACAAGTAAATGAGCCATACATCAGATTCTTCCGCACATGCAAGTGAGAAGGAAGAAATGAAATACAAAGATGGGGTTGCTTTTGCACCTTCTGGTCAAATACCTGGTAATACCAAAACTGCTCATTTCCATATGTTTCATTCACGAAAAAAAAGTAATCCTTGTTCATAGATCTTGTGTAGTCAGTAACAAGACCCCTGTCAGAGACAAACGCAACAGAAGAGAACTGGCGCTGAGCCCTAAAAACTCCTCTGTTCGCCTGTCGCAGCTGCAACCACCAATACCACCAGAGTACATAAATTTAACAACACTGTCTATAGTGACGTCGATAATAAAAGCTAGAACAGCAAGCCATTGCTTTAAATAGAAGCAGGAACTTTGACAAAGCCTGTAGCATTTCACTGCCAAGACTGCATTGCAACAGTAGGTCGAGTGGTCGATCCATGAACCAGACATTGACGCACGCGGGAATTTTTAGAAAATTCAAGAACGCACCTCCATCTCCACAGATTCCCATGTTTTATTAGCAGCAGCTAGATAAACCTGCTGATGTAAGGAACTCAGCACCAGCGTAGTATTGTACACTTCTCCAAGGATGGATGTCATCGCTTGCAAACTACTGCGTAGAAGCTGTCGACGAAGAACGCCGGCAAGGCTCCTCACAGACCTGGCACTGTAAGTGGACGTGAAGTACCAGGTGAGAAGCGTAGTTACTACCAACATGATCGCCACGAGCGCCTGCACACAGTCGGGAACACGTTCACGTCAAAATGAATGAGAGCGGAACGCCTCTGACAGAGAAAATGTAGCAATTTCGGTCGGTTGCACATGACCGTGGGTCAAGGTCGGTTGTGGAACGATAATGGATCCTGCCACAAAAACGAAATAACGCCGTACTTTCTCGTACGCGCCACTGATTGGCCGTGACGGGACAGAAGTGTGAGTTTCGAGACACAACTTCTCAAGACGACTACTGATAAAGAGGGGCTGGAGCGCACAGTCTGTAAGGCGTGTCATGCTTGAACAGGCAAAGGTGGCTGAGTTGCACACGATGGGCCCAGGTGCCAGCGCCATTGTCGCAGGCAGCGTAACGAGATGTGGCCAATGTCGGTGCGGGGTTGAATCCTTCAGCCGTCTTCAAATTCATCAGCCTGAACTAAAAGGTCCGTGGAGTGACTTTTGAAGATCCCAAAAGTGACAATGGCAATGCAGTGAGGGACGTGACTGTCATTATCAGGTTTTATGATCAGCTTCAGCAAGAAGCAATGGGGGCAGAGATTGACTGGGTGGACAATATTTCCGGGCTTGGATCAGTCCGCGTCGACTCGATCAGGGGGTTTCAATAAGAATCTTCGATCGAAAGTCATAGACGCCAAAGTATGTCCTCGACAAGTGCAAGTGCCTAGGACAAACATCACTCGACCTGTACTCTGGCAGAAGAGATTTCTCGACTACTTGTTGCCAGAGATGACTGTACATACTTCATATCAACATAGGGAGTCCGCAGACGGCTGAATGTCTAGTCCATTCGACATACAGACACAATGTGCTCCGGTCCAAATCCACGTGTTCTGCCACGTGGTTACGTGCTGGGCAGAACATTGCTGTTCCACTTCCGGACTGGTAGCAAGAATGGTCGGCAATGCTACTCGACAATTGCGCCTCAGTAGCCAGACTCTGCGGGGGTGTAGGGAGTGGGGGACCAAAACCCCGCTGCCTTCGCCGCAGAAGCTGATGAGTTTTCTTTCACGTCCCTAGGTCTCCAAGTCAAAATCCCTCATGAACTGTCCAACATATCCGCGTGCGGAAATGTCCAACACTGCTCTACGGATCGCGTCTCACGGCCACGCCCAATCCAGATCCCCTATTTGGCATCATCCGAGCTAATGGTAGGACCGTTCACTTTGCTCGACCACGCACCCCTTGGAAAAACACTGATCCGTCACTTGGAAGTCCAAATTCACGTGGCAGCTCCGTGTTTGCACCGACAAATACGACGGTAACGTGGTGCACACCAGTAAACAATCGACGTGACTGCAGAACAAACGTCCTTCTCGCACCGACGAACTAAGCAGGGAATCCTTCTAAGGTGGTCATGAGGCAGAAACCAATGCTAGCTCATCGCTGCTTGTCTCCGAAAAATCCCAAAGAATCTCAAATCATCAACCCCATCGTTGAGGTTGGGCCAAAATCTTGCCATAAGACAACCTATCGCATGGACCCGACAGAGAGGCAGAGCAAGGTAGAGGATTGGGCACGAGGTCAACGTCAGAGATTGCAAAGCACATGCTTACCATTATAGCCAGACGCGAGACGAGCACCGTGTTTGATCTGCGAAGGAGACGCTTTTTCCTCCGGAAAGCGCGTTGAACAGACTCATCGGTAATCTGCTCCAAAGGCACCGAATCACCTGTCATGTCCAAAATGATATGGTCTAGAACCAAATCCTTGCCTCCCTTGGAAGGTGACTGGACTCTCCAGTGCATCCCTGCACATGTCATCTCGCTCTCTACGGACTGGGCCCTGCAGGGCCGTAAACACTTCATGACTTTCCTCATCATCACGGTAAAAAACATGAACCTGATAGGTTCGTCATCCTCCATCCTTCAACCTGTAATTGGAAATCCTCGACAATGATACCTCGGCCCACCTGTCCGGGGCTACCTTCGCCATGTTAAAGATCAAAAACGCTCTTCATCTGTAATCGTGGAACGCTCCTTCGCATCCGGCTATGAGATCCCCAAGCAACTCGACAACGAGCGGCCCATTCTAACCAATAATTTACGAAGGTTCCACCAGGGCGACCTTTCTGAAATCGCAGAATCACACTGATCCACAAGCAACTTGTTTATTCCTTGTATTTTAGCTGCACGGCAACATGCGCCTGTAGCTGCCGAAAAACTCTTGCACAAGAGGGCAGCTTCCAAATACGAGCCTCTGCTCCTCTGCCTACACGAAGCGAGCTCGCACAAACATTCCAGCTTAACGAGGTCGAAGCGGGCGAATGAATCATCTGGAAGAGGGCGCAAATTCTAACCAGGATCGTCCCCTCAAAGATGCTGCGCTTCAGGTGTCGTCTGCATGATCTAATCCACGTCGGGCACCCTTGGATCCCAAGAGATGCACGACTACGACGTCATTTGACTCATCCCGGTGTGTCTTCTACTTAGCGTGACCTCGAAGGTACAGCCATCCAACTCCAGGCAATTGTGCTGAACTTGTTTATCCCTTGGACGAGCCAATCCTCACGCACAGTCCACTCACCTGGAAGTCCAGCATACGTGAATGATACTCTGCTGCATATTGTCAACGCTATCATCTACTTGCTCAGTTCCATGCTGGTTCCATTCGTTTCCTCCTCCGCCACCGTACCCAGCTTCTCCTTCCTTCCACCAGCTCATGGCTGCTCTAATCCTGTGACTCAAACACATTCATCCAACATGTACAATCAACAAAATCCTATCATCCTCGCTCTCACAGAGACACCAAAGAGTGCATTCGTCCGTCGTTGACAAGCCTCAGACGAGCATCAGCAACTCATGGCCATCGATTCGCTTCCACCGACCCTTTCTCCCGGCCTCCCCTGTGCCCCCTGCCTACTGCTAACTGACTTCCAAGGAGTGGTGTCAACCAACACGCGAAGAAATTATTACGAACTCGAATCGACAGATTGGATTCGGCTTTAATCTCTCCATACCAGCACTTCCAATGACCGACAAAACTCGCCAACTCTCCTACCCTGTCGGGTTTCTTCTCCAGAAATATGAAACAACAAAATTACAAACTCTCTTCTCTTCCTTCAATATACTATCTTCCTCTCAAAATCAAGCTCGCTCGCAAGCTCTCTCCCTCTCTCTGTCTCTCTCTGTCCGTCTGTCTGTCGGTCTGCCGGACCTCTCCTCCGCTCCTCGTTCCCTCGGGAAGGGGACCACTGGAATCGAATCTGCAAACGCTGAAGTCTCAAAGGCATTCCTTTCCCTTTCAGGAAATGCAGTACGCGCGGTGGCGACAGCACTACTTCTTGCACGCAGCAGAGAAGGATGAGCTCTGCGTCGGTTGAAAGGGAGAAGAAGAACAAACAGCAGCGGGTATGGAAGTCGGGAGTGAAGTCAGTAGAGAGCACAGCACTAGCAGAGGCATCAGCCGGACACCCAACAGGGAGCAGCAGCAACAACAGCAGCAGCAGCAGCTTACTTCTTCCTCTGGAGTGTGAGTATGCACAGGACCTGCTGCACAGATTCGTTCGGGTCGGACTTGGCCCCTGTTCGCTTGTTCGTTCCCAGACTCTCGATTCGTCTTTCCCTTCCTTCCTCTCCCTCCCTTGCTTTCCTCTCCTCTCCTTCCCTTGCCTTCCCTTCCCTTCCAGTCCTTCCTTCCTTCCTTCCTTCCCTGCCTCCGTTCAGTCCAGACTTCAGTTCTGCCTGGGACGGAGTGTCCGATATGGCACGATCCGATTCGATCTGACAGGAATTCCAAACAGTATCTAGTACCAGTCGAATCACGGACCCTCATGTCAGCATGCCGTGGACCACGTCAGCTCTCCCTCCTTCCTGTTAAAGTAAGTGTCGTAGTGTAGCTGCCGCTGCCGCCAACATCAGCAGCACCACTTCGTTCATCTGAAAAGGTTCAAACCCCCACACGCAGTCCTGCTTCACATTTCCTCCTCCTCCTCCTCCTCCTCCTCCCTCCCTCCCTCCCTCCCTCCCTGCTTCTCTTTGGTTTGTCTACCACCTGCCATCCTGACCGCCCGCCCGCCTGCACCCTTCGCTCCCTTGACTCGGCCTCTCTTCTCTTCTCGACTTTCAAACCTCGTCTGCTCGACGCACATACGTCCCCACGGCTCCACAACAATCGCAGTTTCGGGCCCAATCAGTCACGGCCCTACTAACTCCGGCCTTCAATGACCACCACCGTCTCTGGTCCCCCCCGGTTCCTGCGAACAAATACCGTCCAGCTGCTGCTGCTCGACGAACTTGTCCGCGTGGACCTACCGACGATTTCGGACGTTGCCGACGACGACGACGACGCCATCCTGATGATCGCTGATTTGACCCCGCTCTATGATGATAAGCGATTGGTCACTTTCCCGGAACCGCCACAGATCGAGGCCTGCCTGGAATAGAGGAACCACTTTCCCTGGTTGGGAACTGCCACTGTCCGTCGTTCCTTCGATCGCTCGCTGTGACGGAGGTCGGCCTGCTTAACCCGGGTTAAGGGGCTGCCAGATTCTCCTCGGCCTCCATTAGCGAAAGTGGGAGGAAATGGGGCACTTTAATGAGAACCTCTATCTAGAGAGGTTCGACGAATATGCTCGCCCCACTCGCCAAAAGCACCGAAACATTCCTCCCCTGGTGGCAGCCAATTTCCCATTTCCAACCAACTAACCTTAGCGGCCCATGACTTACCGTTGGCTCTGATAACTGACTCGATCACAACGTCACTTCAGAGCAGAGGGGTGGGACGAAGGTAACAAATAACACATAAAACCTTACTCGGACCAGGTGAATTTTCATCTCCTTTTGCTTTTCCCTCGAAATCTCATGTGGTGCTCCGTTCTTGGCTTCTACTGACTTAGGACCTACTATCGAATCTCGAACTTGCCAAGTTTCTGTTCAGGTGGTGAACCGGGTGGTGATTTTACGCGCGTGCTGCAGGAATCACTTCCTCGGTCATGATGCATCATGCACTCTTGCTATATGTGCAAGGGTGTAAAAAACCGCAGCTGCGTGCTTCCAGTACTATCTGGTGAGAAAATGTTTTTGTGCCTGCATATAAACAACCTTCTTGCCTGCTGTTCCGTGTTCTTCTGCTTTTAACCTATGCACGACGACGGGAGAAAGCAGCTACCAGCACGGTAATAGGGAGAAAAGTTTCGAGCATCCCCAAACATGCTTTCATGTACGTGGATTTGTCTCCATCTCGGCTCCTCTTGTACTTCAGGCGAGAGGTGTTAGCCGCAATCGAAACATGTTACAAAGTCTGCCAAACTTCCGATTTCTAAAATGACTTTAATCGATGGCTGGATTCCTAACTTATTTTATTTTCAAGAAAACCGGATGGAGAGAGGAAGTACCTCAAACGCTTCAAAAGAAACGTGTGCTTCCTCGTTAGTTGAGATAGATTTGATACTTCGTTCCGGATCTTATACTCTCTCTCCCAATTCATGAGATGATTCTGCATCAGTCCCAACATCTTCGATCAGAAGAGCCCACGATCAAATAATGATAAAGTATGTAACTCTAGACATGTTGTGGTTTGGGGGATGGCCTTCATGGCATTACACAGATACCATGAACTTTTAGATATCCCCAAACTCTTTGGGAAACGTACTTCAGTCCCTATGATGCAGATGAGAGCATGAGAATGGAACCCCGGACGATAATCTTGTCGAGGAGACTACGTCCTTGGACAGAGGTCATCTATTTCACAAGACGGAGAAATGACACCATCACATTTTCACGAAAATTTTGTACATATTTCATCTCGTGCACGAGTAATTTTCCATTATTGACTCCAGTCAGAACTGAGCAACAAGATGTCCATCTCCTGAAAAGAATTCCCTCGTGATATCTAAGAAAATCACGAGACTCAACTTCTATCTATGTACGACGACACATAAGATCTGCCAATTAGAACTCATTTGTATTTAAGCTCACACAATGCAAGGGGCAGCTAGGTAACAAGTGGATATCATTCCTATTGGAGCTAAAATCGGAATAAACCCCTACAGGCTCATTATAATTATAGACTTCGCTCATGGTCTCTTGTTTCCACCAGCCCCGATTTCTAAATCTCTCGTTCATTTGGGTCACGGTGAGCTTTGGGCACACATATTCCAATATTCCTTAATAGCCACAAGGAACGTGAACAGACCTTGCCCGAACACGACTCGCCCGGTGGTTCAGTCTCGACCACACATCACAAGTCTTCAGCTTTCATGAATATGATTCGACCGAAGAAACGGAACATGAAAATATTGGTTTCACTGGGCGATATATTTATTTATAGATTTGATTTTCAATGCGAACAAGAACAGGAGGAAAATAATACGAGACCTCGAAAGCTCCGAGTGAGAACGCCATGGCGAAGGAGGTATGAATGACAGTTCTTTGAAAGGGGCGGAGCGTAGGAACGGGCTGTAACATTTAGAAGGGGTGGCGGTTGGAAGGTGGGGGCGGGGGGCCACGAGGGGTCGCTTTGTCCGACATGGTTCGCGAAACCAGAGATATAGGTCAATACGGACAGTCCGTAATCAGTACGGGGTGCCCGATCAGCATCGGCAGCGCAACACATCAGACTGAAGGGCATACAGTATGGAAGATAGCGCGGATCTGGGGCAGGCTGGCAAATGCTGACGTGTTCAAAGCAGAGGCGAGGGGAGTTCATTGCACGCCTGCCTTTCCCCATCCCCAAAAATCTCCCTCCGCGTTTCTCGCATCGCGCGCCGCGTGTCCTCGCGCCTCCGGGCCTTCCCTTCCTTCCCCTTCGCCATCACGCTACTCCCCGCTTCGCGCAGTCAACAGGTTTCTATAAAAATCTGGTCTCTCGGGCCAACCCTGGTTAAAGGCCCCCGCCCGCCCCCCACGACTGCACCCCAGGCCCGGCCGGTCACCTCCGACAACCCGGCCCGCACCGCCTGTCCGCCTGTCGCAGCCCCGGACGGTCAGGCGGTCGCTCCATCATATTCTTCGCGGGCATTACCGGTAGCCAGGATGCTCTACACGAGCGCTGCTCGCTTCTGTTGGCAAGCGTTGCTTGCAGGACCAGATCTTTCCCCGTATCTACTCCCTACAGTCCAAGCCCAGCAGCAGCAGCAGACCGAGCAGAGCAGAGCAAGCCAAGAGCGAAGGGCGAGAGGCCAGAGAGGACGAACTACAAACAGAACCAGAGGCCAGAGCAAGCAATGCAAAATGGATCGTGTCATGCAGTGTCAGCCGCTACCTCGCTACCTATGCCCCGCTCGCCCTGACAACAGTGCCCGCCCGGCCGCGAGAGCAGCCAGAGAAAGAAAAGAGAGACAGAGGCCGAATATCACACGACATTGAGGACAACGCGACCGCAGGCACGGAGGGAGGGAGGCAGAAAGACTTGAACTCTGGTCGAATTGGCACAGAGAGGGAAGGCAGGGCCAAAAGGGAGGGAGGAGGGATAGGGTTCCGATTTGACCTAGATTTGAGTGGGAAGTACTCCAAGGCAGCGTATCGCTCGCATATGCACACGCTCACGCACTCGCAGGACATCAGCCAACATGCTCCCTTACGTACTCTCCCGCTTTCTTTCTCTCCTTGCTTCCTTCCTTCCTTCCTTGCCTTCTTCGTCCATCGCGCCTCCAACTTTCCTCGTCTTCTTCCTGCGGCCAAAGTATTCAAACCTTGTCATGATCGCGTATGCTACAATATCTCGTCCTTTTCTATTCAGCTTCCGGCCGTCGAGTACGTCGCCACTCTACGTCTCTCTCGCTGTGCCCATTTCCGGCCGTCCGTCCGTTCGGGAGCCGGCCGGCGACCGACCGCCAACGCCGCCTCGAAAATACGTACCTCCGCTCGGGGGACGACAAACTATGCATGTCCCCCGCCGAGTTCTGCCCGCCGTCCGATCCGCATCCGACGCCTTCCGGGACCCGGCTCCCAGCCTGCCGACGCTGGGCCTTGCGATCTATCCGCTGGATAGGGTAACTCATCGCGCAAGTTACAACGCCGTCATCGCAAGGGGCCAAAAGGGAAAAATTAAACGAGGCATAAACGCCAATGAAATGATAAAAATATTATTAAACGCCATCGCAAGGCTTAGGTCGATCGGACGGCCTTCATAAAATCGGAAGAATCGGTCTTCTATATTTTCTTAAATTCGAGATTTGCGAGGACGATAGAGGCCAGTCCCCCGCATAATTCATAATTCATCCCTGGGGGTAAATACGGTAACTCGGCCACGAGCGTAACGTCACCAGTAATTGATAACCGAACCGCAGCGAGTAAAAGGAGGCCTCATGAGTGAGTCACTCGTGCCGGGAAATTACCGCGGGGGCGATAAAGCTCGGCACAACACGAACGACAGAACGCCGGTCGCGACCGTCGACGCCTCATCGCACACATAACGGTCGATCGTGCATGACCCCAAGGCAGCGGAACATCGCATGACAAAAGCAAAGGGCTTTAGAATCGTCCATGATCGAGTCTCGACTTTCGCGCCCCTCCGTAACGCCAGGTAGCGCGCTCGCGCCCGCGCCCGTCATGGGCCAGCAGCACACGACCCCTTGCCGAAACGCCTCTGCGCCCCCCCCCCCCCCCCCCTCCCCCTTCTTCCCGCGCGACAAGACCGACGCGAACCGAGGCCATTCGTTACAAGAGCATCCGGTCGTCGTCGGTCCGGGGGACTCTGGTCGGGGGCCGGGTACAAAGGGCGGTTAGGGCGTGTACTTGTGGCATACCCCCCGCCCCGGTTTCGTTTTCGGCTGCAATCGGCTGCAATCGGCCCCCATATGATCACGCACCACCCATCCCAGGGGGGGTGGGGGGGGGGGAGGGGGTACAGTAGTTCGTTACGGTGGGGACGGGGACGAGGACGAGGACGGGGACGTTCGGACGGAGCTCTCCGGGGCGAGTCAACGGTCTCAAACCATCGATGATGGTGTAACGAAAATGGTCGTCGGTGGTGCCGTCCTTCGGTGCCGGTATGAATTGGGGCATTCGATCGATCGCAAACATCGAAGGTGTACTGTGTGTCGTCTCGGTCTACTCATTGTGTTATTTAATCGGGATACGATATGTTTGTCTGTTGGCACCGTCTCATGTCATGGCCAAAGTCATGACCACGACAACTGCTGTACGTTGTTGAGAAGAATCCTGGTTGAAGTATGTGTACTGAAGATCTGAACTCGAATGGGTCGCCGAGGGGAGAGATCCGAACGGAACTCAAGGTTTCCTCCTCCAAGTACAACAGGTTGGACAGACTTCCGAAGGCTCTTGGTTTCATGCATGGAAACTTGAGCAGTCGCATCCAAACAGACTTCCTCAAGCTCGACTAGAGATTGTTCTCGTCGGAGGAGTAAGCCTTGTCCTGGACGTATGACATGTATGACATGTGCTCAACTTGCTCCGATTACGTCCGGATTGCCACATGTCATTGTCATTGTCATTGTACTGGAATTGTCTAAGAGGCTTCTTCTCTTCAACAAAAGTGGTTCGGCCCATGAATTTCAAGACGTTTGTGAGAGATACCCCCGAATTTACTAAAGGGCGAGGGATCTGCGCGAAGGTCGATGGAATGATGACACACCTTACGAAAATATAATATTGCGACCCATGTGATGAGCCTCGAGTCACATATCACACGAGAGAGCACCATTTCTTTCATTATTTTTGGAGATTTTTGGTCGACACAATCAGCAAAAATAACATCAGCGAGTCTTTTTCCTTACAGAAGAAAGAGAGTGGAGATACTGCGATCAGGAAGATCTTGCATCCATATGTGTGGGAATGATGGACCGCAGGTGGTAGGCGTGATCGCCTTTGCTGATTGCATCCTTGTCACAAGGTTTGTGACCTCCAGCAGCATCATGCCTCTGCTTGCTATCCCAATCTAATCTGGAAAGGTCTAATCTCAAGTCATCCGAGCTGTCCATGACTCCATCAGGTTCGTAGTATCATGCTTCATATCTACATACCCAAAGTATCTTCGTCAGGTCTGATCGTCGAAATGCATATTCTGAGGGGTGGGGGCGGGGGCGGTGGAGTAGTTGCATCAAGGACAGCTTACATAGAAACTCCTCACAAGCATTCTCAACAAAAAAAAAAGTACAGCAGGTCGGAAAATTGCTTCGTTCCTTCAACTTCTTGAGATTCTGCCTCCTTTATGATACATAGTTTATCAAAGATATATATATAATCTGTGCCGGGTAGAGTTTTGTGTCTATCCATGAATGGAGATGTGGAGATTTTCGCGATAACGATGATCCTCGAGCTTTATTGCGTAGGAGAAATTAAATCGGATTCCGTTGGACATGAGACGTCCACTCTACAGAAGGAACACGGGAGTCGCAGGATAGCAGGCCAGGAAATATCCCACGTACTGAATCTCGGGCGAATCTGCGTAATAATCTACAGAAGAGCAGCACATAATGACGGGCGACTGTTTTCAAGCAATTATAAAGCGGGATCTTCTCCAAATTTCAAAATGCACTGTTGGATGTAATGGAAAATAATCATAAGGATATTTTTCCCCAACTAGCAGCTGCCTGCAAAACATCCTCACGTAGGCATGAAGCACATGGGGTCCGAAACCACGAGTACCAAAATCTGAACGAATCTCTGCGTGTAGCGTAAAGTGAAGAGAAGAATAATGACCGCAAACTATTGGTTCGAGGACCTCAGACCAAATTTTCACCAAACTTCAAGAATCACTATGAGTATTGAACATCAATGATAAGAAGTTGCCTGTAGAGATATTTTAGATCAATCCTCAGCAGACACATCCATCCATTCTAGAGAATGAACTAGGGCGCTCCTGACACCACGACCAGTCATACCCTGGCCACTTTGATTCGGAGAACTCTCATTTTTACCATTATTAGTTTGAGATGGGGATCACGATATAAATGATACGGGTGAATCATAAGAATATCTATATTTTCCGTTCCTTCGAGTGTTTTTATTTTTCAGTCATTTAAAAACAACACCCACTCCGTTACAAAATAAGAGTCCCATTTGAGATTTCTATATTCTTTAACCTCAAGAATTTGGATGAAGAGGCAATTGTGTAGAATTTCGGCTAGAATTTCGAGAACTTTGGTATCACAAGCGGACATGGTGAGATTTTACAATTTGGGTTAGCTAAGAGCTCGCTCACAAATCTTGTGACCAAACGCTATGTCATGATTCGCAATTCGAGTCCTTTAGGAATGTTGGTCCTCACAAATAGTTTGTGATGAGTATTCATTTATACTGTTCACACTGTTTGAATTCAATTAGAGGACTAAATTACCAGGTGAACATCAGTATGGGATGAAAAACCCACAGCCTCCTCCTGCAGAGCGTGGGGTTTCCTCTCTATAAATAATTTCTCTATGGGGATGTTGTTATAGTAATAATTAGATTTGTTTCTGTTTAAATAGATTTGTTTATATCATTCTGAATTGAATGTAGACGATGGCGTCTCACCCGTTGTGCGTGGATGCCAACCACGCTACGTGTTACATAATAGTGTGCTTTGAAAGCGAGAGTAAGAGAGAAATCAAATAAATTTCCAAAGAAGGTCAAAGAGTCCTGGAATGGTCATGGTATGACTCTGTATTAAATGGCGCCTAGAGGAAAATCGACAAGGAAAATCGCATGTTCTACATTTCGACCCCGAAACGAGACAAATAGTGGCAGCGAGAGATTCTGGGCATCCGATCGTCTCACTGACAAACCAGAAGGATGCGTAAGGGTATGCGCAGCCGAGCAGCAGCGCAGAGGAGAACATAACTCGCGCACCACTGTGGAAGTGGAACCCGAGTTCAAAATCCACAATCGGGAATGGACATAAATGAGAGGCGAGACATCGATCGATCGAGCGCAGGGGGGGAGATCTGGCATGAATGAGCGCCCATGATAAGGCCTGCGACACGAGGACGGAGATCTCAGCGGCATCTTTAGGGGGCCCAAACGAACGCCCGGGGACGGTAATGAGGCGCGCGACTATTGGGCCGGTGATGGCCAAGCGGCTCAGACCATCTCAAACGAATTTCGAAAAAACATAATGGGGTATTATAACGGACAATTAGTGTACAGTTGCGCAGTGGAGTGGCGACGTGGGGGGAGTACAATCGACGTAAGGTGCCGGAACAAAACAAATAGTGTCGTTGGATTTGATTTGGTTCAGTGATGTGTACCTTTTTCCTCCCCCTCTCTCTCTCTCTCTCTCTCTCTCTTCTCTCTGTTCTCTCTCATGTAAAGCAGTGGGCATCCGTTCAGGTGCCATTCATTCACAATTATACGGCATCTCTCTCTCGTACTGTTCTCGTACGCTACCAACAGGTGTCTCGCCGCTCCCTTGCGCTGGATGTCTTTTCTTTCTTGCAGCCTTTTCCCACACCTACTTCCACTTCTTCCTTCGCATCTGCATCCAAACCTTACCCTAGACCTCCACCTCCACCTCAACCTCAACCTCCCTACGGCTCAAGACGAATTCCCTTTCTTTTCCCGTCGTTCCTCCGTTGAGGAATATGCCTTGCAGATCTCCTCCAGAAGAGAGCCACGACGATGCATTTTCTTTGGAGCGATGGCCGTGAGCCAGATGACCAACCAACCTCCAACCCAAGGAGCCCGGGATGTTGTGCACCTCAACTGTCACATCCACATTATTACATGGAGGGGATATTTGGCAAAGGCCTTTCTTCCCATGAATTTGTATCTCGTTCGTGTTTGATGATCCCAAACGAGGATCCGAGATTTGCAGCTGCAAGATGAAGATGGACTCGGAGTTTTGACCGTTCTCAAATCAATAGGAAGATGCCGACCCGTCCCGAAGGGGATTCC